GAGCGGGAGCGATAGAAAGGTGGTTCGAGGCAGATTCTCTCAGTGGGCGAGAGAGTGCCGCATTTGCCGTTACAACCCGGAGAATAGAGCCGTATATTGATTGCTTTATACGGGCTTTTGGCTCGAGAGTCGCTGGAGGGGGAAGCCATGAGTGACCGAACATTGTGTGCGAAAGGCCTAATGGAATAGTATGTGATTGCCCGTGTGTCAATGGTAGGAGGGATTGAATCCTGCCTTACAACCATACTGTATCCTCTGTCTCATTCGCCTTCTCTTTTCTCTGTACGGAGATGAGTAGCCGGGAGTCAGGAAATTCAATCCACGGTGGGTATCTGTCAGTCAGCACCTGTAAGCCACAACCACCATCATCATCACATCCTGACCTCACTTGGACGGGACGGATGGATGAGTGAGTGAGTAGGTAGTGGGCCAGCGTATCCGAGCAGAGTACCTTGTACGAAGTGGAGAAAGAGAGAGGGGAAGACACGGACAGAGAAAGCGAGCTGAATAAACTCAAGAGAGATGTGAGTATGTGTGTGGGTGGACTTTTGATCGATCCAGGCATTGTATGACATCCGGTGCCATCCCAGCTTGCACCTTGCATGCTTGCCGTACTTGCCACCACCACTGCCAGGTACCAAGTCCAAGAATCTGTGTTGAAGCTAGGAGTTTGCCCGCGTCCCATGGCCTCTTTCAACATCCTCCTTCTCTCTCCTCCTGTAGCCAGGAAAACCAGATGCTTAGGGAAAAAAACTCCAAAGAAACAGGGAAAGATAGCTCCAAAATATGGTCATTGTCGCAGAGACGTCACTGCAGGACTTCAATGCGAAATATATATGTAAAGAGTACCCAGTATTGCCACTATGAATTACCACTTTGTATGTTTGAGAATGGAAAGAGGAGCCTTGGTCGTCAGTGAGCCCAGAAGCTCCCTGTCGCCAGTGCCGGTCATATGCCCATATTAAATCCCTTTTTCCCAATGCTTCGTTTTTTCCCGGTTTTCCCCCCTTCGCCGTTGCTGTGAGCTTTGTTGACAAATGTCATGTCGTCGTCGGTGATCGTCGATCGTTGATCAGTTTTCAAAGTCGTGTTAGTGGTCAGGAAAATCATAACCCATTCATCAATCCCTTTTTGTGCACAATGCCTCTCCACACATCACTCCATTCCATAGCTTCTCAACCTTCATCCCCACGTCCTCGCCTCGGAAAGCTGCGGACTGGGGAGGTCAGGAGAAAATCACTTTCGGTTCCAGTCACCCCAGGTCTGGGAGCAAGGAGCAGTGACGGTCTCAGTGATGTAGACAGATTCCGGCACGGCAGTGTAGGTGACCGTGGCGGTCTCAGTCTCGGTCTTGTAGACGGTGCTGTATGCCGTGGTCGTAGTGGGAACTGGAAATCAGAGTTAGTTTGAATTCAAAGTTCAAGGGTGCTCGGGAATGGAGACTCACCAGTGATGGTGCTGTAGACAGGCTTGGTCTCAGTCACGGTAGCAGTAGAGTAGACGGTGCTGTAGGCGGTGGTGGTGGTTGGCTGTTTCCAAAATGGTCAGCATAGCTGCTTCCAAGAAGTTACTTTGGAGGGGTAAGTCTCACCTTGTACACCGTGGAGTAGGCAGTGGAGTAAGCAGTGGAGTAGACGGTGGAGTAAGCGGTGGTATAGACAGTCGAGTAGGCAGTCGAGTAGGCCGTCGAGTATTCAGTGGTAGTCACGTATTCGGTGGTGGGCACACAGGTGCTGGACCAGTCGTTCCAGGTACCATCTCTCTTAACGGCAGCAGCAGCGGCGCCGGCGACGAAGAGGGCAGCAGAGAAGAACTTCATTTTGACTGAAGAGTTGGGTGATTGATGTGGGTTGTTTTAAAAACGAGGGAGATGGAGATTGTTTCGAAAGCGAAAGGCTGTGAGGGAAAGCGAAGGAAGATCTTTGGAGTAGATCGTTTGCTCTGGACTGTGCTTGTTGGGCTGATGATGGAGGAAGAGAAAAGATGATTGAACAACCTACCGTCATGTCTTTATATCCTTGACTGGCGAGGGCACAATGGGCAAAATAGCATGATGATGGCTGGGCTGCAATTCGACCTGTTGCTGGGTTGGTTTCCTGGTTTCCATCGTCTCGCAGCTGACGATGGTACTGAAAGCGGAAATAGAGAGGAGCGGGGACTGTGAGTGGGCGGGCGGAGCAAGACACTTGGCCAGTCTAAGAGAGGAGGCGAGGCGAGGACAGGACAGCACCAAGCTTTGGTGGGTAGTAAGGTGGGCCTGTAGACGGCCCTGGACCTCTGCATGTCGTAAATGCTGGACGAATCCGCATGGACTGTCTGCATCTGGTCAGCCATTCAGCACTCGATGGGCCTCATGCATTGTGTCGACAAATATGGGACGGCAGTGAGGCAGAGGCCGTGCAGTACGTGCAGTGCAAAGTTTTCTGGCAGTTAAAGTCAAACTTCAGCTTCTTGGAAGTGGTGAAAATAGCTGACGCTATACCAAAAGGGGACGATTAGCAGGACTCTTAGTGTGGTCTTGGCACGAGGCTTAGCCTGGCGCTACCTTCTCCCCGCAGGGTCGTGGACCAATAGGGTCAGTACGTTAGCGACCAGCCCCGTCTCCTGCCCGTTGTCTTTCCCGTGTGGATTTTGCCCCTTTTAACTCGCCATGTTTCGCAGGGGTTGCAGCCGCTAGGCCACGTTGGGCGCTATACGGGTTGTCCACTTGACAGCAATCTGCAGCCTCCTCGTGTCCAGCCTCCTCGGGGATTTCGGGGGTTTCAACGTCTCAACGTCTCAACGCCCAACAACGGCTGTCGTTCATGCCGTACCACAGGCTGAGTGTGCATTGGCGGGACTTGGTCTACGAGGTATTGTGCTCAATGCTCACTTGGTTCGACTTCTGAGCATGATATTGTATGTCACCACTAGACCCCTTTTGGCTGACGGACCGCCGAAATTTACGTCATTGGGTCATCATTCGCCGCACGTACCTACACAGCTGGACGAGGAAGAAGCCGTGCTGAGGGTTTCAATATGGACATTGTACGCGACGTACGGAATTACAACACCACACCACTCCAAAAGACAATCTTACGATTGAGTACCTGCACCGGAGCTCTACAAGGCAAGAGGTACAGAAGGATGTTGCCAGGTACCAGGTACCAAGAAACCAACCCCCTCCCAAATATTGCATCATGCATACTCGGTACAACTCGGTAATGAGTACTCGGTACATACATAGCAGTAATCTTTGTCAGTCTCACGCACTTGGTTGTCCTGGTTCCCCAAGCGAAAGGCCAATAATGCCAGCCCATGCTTTAATCCTTCTTCGCCAAGCAATACCCGCCTCAGCAGGATTCAGAGGCTTAGCCTACAGCTTAAAACCACAATCACCACACCACTGTCACCGCAGTCACCATTGCCACCTTATTTTTGATGCACGTCTCCCTCCAAGTATTATCTCGGGGTTGGTTACAAAAGCCCCCAATGGTCATTTGAAAATATCTTACTCTTACAATACCGAGTACAATTAGGGCAAAAGGACCCCATGTTCTCGGCCTGTCCTTCCGGGGTAACATCACCAATAAGACATTCCGGCATCTTCCTGCACGTCTGCACGCCAGGCACCGTGGATCATCACCATGTCTGACTTTTGTTCAATTGTTCCCTCTCCCTCTCCCCGAATCGCATCGAGGCTGGTGGCCCATCGAGAAACCAAAACCGGGCAGAGTTGGCCAGGCCGGCCATGGGGTCTGTGGACGGGTCAACATTTCCAGACACAAACATCGACAGGCAGGATTTGCTTCCCTGAGCCCCATCCGACCGACCCCTCCCGCGTCCTTCAAATCCCTCCAAATCCCTCCTACTACCTACCTCGTACATACGCCCTGTTTGTCATTGTTTATTTTTCGGGACCATGGGGCTGGCTGGGCTGGCTAAGACCGGCTATTTGCTGTCAAACAAAGAACCCTTAGCGAACTCCTCCCACATGCTCGGAGGTCTCGGCTGCCGTGGCTTTTTCATCTTGTAAGAGGAGGTTGGCATAACGTCAGTCATCCTAGCTACCAACGGCCACAACACGGTGTACTCCGTACGAGGTATTGTTGCTCCAAGTGTTGTGTCAGGACATACTCGAACCTTCCATGTGGTGCCTTGTGCCTGGCTGTGCCGCCTGCAGTCTAATGTTGACTACCACCTCATAAGGCTGCGGGACTGTCACCAACTCCGCTCGTCCAACCCCTCAGACCACGCGGTGAGACTGACTGAACCATACATGTGCACCTACAGACACACGCCAAGAAGGGGGGGCTGTTCAGCCCTCCGTACCTCGTAAAACACAATGCTCCCAGGAAGAAACGGATCACGCTGAGCAGAATCCAAATCGAAATGGCTGGACGGACAACCAGAAGCATGTCACATTGGTTTTTCCGCCACGTTTATGCAGTGGGCTCTTGGGATTGGTGATGCCGAGTGAAAAGAACCCACGTCTTGGTCTCCTTGCATCTGCGACGTTCTGGTCTCCGTCCATGCTTGTGCGGGCGGTGGCAGGGAGGGAACGAGAACAATAACTCGTACTCGGTAGAAGAGGAGACTAGGTGCAAAGTCCGCGGGTTTCGTTCAATCTATTGAGATCGTCGACTGGACGGACATGCCGTTTCTCAAGGTCGACGGTGTCTCGAGCTAAGCAAACGAGTACGAATATCCGCCATGACCGAAGAGTCCTGAGTACCTTTCTTCTTCGTCGATCTATCCCAGAACAATCCCACCACTACTTTGGAAAAATCCCTCCTCAAGATTTCCTGGCCGCCCCCGAAATGAGACTGATCACGCAGTGGTGTTGATGACAGCCTCCTTTCCTTTTCCCTTTCCCAAAATCTCCCATCATCGTCGAGTTCACATCACATCAGATCAGCTCAGATTATACCCGCCACCATGACGAAAAAAAGGACCAAAAGTATACCCGAGTGCTAACCAAAACCCCACATCTCTTAGCTCGCAGGTGAGTTATTTGCATCTCACTGCTCACTCGCCAGCTCGAAGAGCGCAATCGTCTCACAAAAGTTTGCCTTGTTGACGCTGTACGGCACGAGGTCGGTACCCTCGTAACTGATCATGAACTGGGACCCCTTGGTGCTCAGGGCCCAGAGGTAAATGTCGGTCGAGTTGCGGAAGTCGACCATGCGCTCCTGGCAGCTCTCGGTGCCCAGACAGGCCTGCGTGTTCCAGTTCTCGAAAAAGTTGTACAGCCCGCCGCCGTACATGAAGATGGAACTCGAGTTGACGAACCGCACGGCCCAGGTGCGCGCGCAGTTGGCCTGCACGCAGTCCGAAAAGTCCGGGTCGTGCCACGACGGCTGCGGCGTAAAGGGCACCAGCGCGTTGGGGTTGCCCTGGAAGTACGCCGTCTCGTGCTGGATGTGGCCCATGAAGACGTCCTTCGCGTTGACGAATTGGTAGTCGTACATGACCGAGTGTTCGGCCGCCGTGCCGTACAGCCACACGGGGCCTTGGGATTCAATGAGGAAACCACTGCAGAGAAACAATCCAGGTCAGTCAAACACTCTCTTTCTCACTTTTGCATTCGTGACTCCATCTGAAAACGGTCCTTCTCTCAACTCACCCTTTGTTGAAGATATAAATCTGCTGCCGATCCGCCATGTCCAACTCGTGGTCCGCTACCCATCCCCACGTGTTTTCAAAATACCCGTCTGCCTGGCTCGTGACGTGTAACAACAAAAATGCGCCGATGCACTTGGTCAAGACCGGATTCGTCCCCGCGATCGGTGTCGCCGGAGTCTTGAGGCAGATGTCCTGTTGTAAGTCTGTCCCTGCCGACCCGCCGATACGCCAGTGAGCGTCCCACATGCCCGCCAACGCCGGCCCAGCGGCCTTGATGTTCCACTCGATTATAATGGCGCCTGGACACGGGCCCTTGACCTCGAACATGAGGTCGGAGATTTCGACGGTGCCGACTTCTCCAGGATTGCCGATTTTCCACATCGGCTTCGGGTTGAACTCGTCGCCGAAGAACGTGCCCGTCGCCATGACGATGCTCAACAGTTCGCCAGTGATCTTGACGTCCGCCGGAACATTGACGGTCGAGGTGACGATGTAAGCTCCCCTGTCAAAGTAGACGATTTTGCCCGTGATATGGGCGAGGTTGAAGAGTGCCTGCATCGCGACCGTGTCATCTGATAAGAAGCAACTGTTAGGCAAAAGATAGAGAGGCATGTTTCAGCAATGACAAAGACCCACCTGTAGACCCATCACCCACGAGTCCGTTTGCTTTGGCGCTGAGGAACCCGCTATCCCATTGAAGGTTTTCGTATTGTGGTTTGACGCGGTACACGTATTGCCCATTGCTGTCGACCAGCGAGGACGGGCGAGGGATCGGGGCGAGGGCCCGCTGAATGGTCGTTTCTTGCGCAGTGTAGGCCGTCTGGCTGGCATTCTGGTAAGAGCAGGTCGTGCCGTTGAAGTACTGGCCATTCAGCGCCCGGCCCGCCGTTGTCCAGGCGTTTCCCTGCGCCCAGAGCTCGACAAACTGTTGGCCGGCGAGGATCGTCCTCGCTTGAGTGCCACCGGCGGCAGAGATGGCGACCCCGCTACCGGTGAAGTCGACTCGCTCGATGACCAATGTCCCCGCGGCCTGGGGCGAGCTGAAACCCGGGGCATAGGGGGTGAGGATGCCCTGAGTCGCGGATATCGTGCTGTCAAGCAAGACCAAAGAGCCTACGGCGAGGTTGGAGAAGCCGCCACTGGTCATGTCGATACCGACATCGGAATTTGTGATGGTGATCTGAGTGAACAACCACACCCAGTCGAAATTCATCTTGATCGCCGTCGAGCAGCCGTCGAATTGGATCTTGCGCGTCGTGAACTGCTGGTTTCCGAGGTACGCCCCGATGGCGCCGCCCGTGATGACCATGTCGGAAAAGAAACCTCCCGATCCGTTTTCCATGTAGATGCCCTGTTGCTGGTTGTTGACCACGTCCTTGGACACCATGTTGATGACAATGTTCTGCATGCTCGTGGCCTGGGCCACCTGCCAGTGGATGCCTGCCGTTTTCAAGGGTGCGCTTGTCATGTCGATGACGAAGTTGCGAATCTGCCGGTAAAAGTTGTTTTGGTTGGCATACCACTCGGCACCGCTGCCGGACGGGATGTAGATGTCTGCATCAAAGACGGCCAACCCCACGATATTGGTGAAATTGGAACTGACTCGGATGGTGGGTGGGTTGACGGCGTCGCCCACCATTTGCGTGAAGTAGTACATGATCAAAGGTTTCGAGACGTTATAGATTCCTGGTGGGAAATAGACCAGTCCCGGCGTCACTGTCGAAGACTGGCAAAACGACCCGTATGTAGCATTGCCTCCGCCACAGCGAGTCCCAGGAGCAGCAATGGCTCGGTTTATAGCGTCAGTGTCGTCGTGTAGACCGTCTCCTACAGACAATGTGAGCATACCGCAGTAGTCTCCGACCCATCAAGACTCACCGACAGCGCCATAGGCTTTGACATTTCGGAAAACCGGATAATTGGGGTCTTGAAACGTGACTTTACCAACATGAGGCTTGTTGGCGAGCCAGTAGGTCGACTGTTGCGCCCCCGCCGACTTGATGAGAACCGAAAGGTGTAGGAGGGCGAGGACGAGTGCAGGAAGAGGAGAATACATCTTTGCGCAACACAGGGCTTTCCAACGATACCCGGATGCTCTGCAATACTTCAGGACGAATATATGCTGAAGGTAAGATGTCCGGTACTGTTGGAAAGAAAAGACTAATGACACGAGTACACGAGTCGATTTGAGGCTGGCCCGTGACGCGAACTGAACCCCAAGACCGCGAGGAATGTACTTGGCTGGAATGTGGCCTTTTGAGACAACAAATTCCATCGGGTAGAACATAAGGAATTGCCAGCTTGCCCAAGACGCCCAGTTTCCTCATCGAATGCCTGATTTTTGCAATTCCCGCAGTTGTAGCTCTCCAGCCTGTCTCAAAAATGAGGGTAGTCACTCTTCTCCTGGTCGCCGTCAGCACAATGATCCAGAGCACCTCAGCGCTTGCACTGGACCGAAATAATGACAGGTCCGTTCGCATACCCGATCTCACCGATCACCTGTAACAAGACTGACCCGCGATACAGCCCAGTCGGCGTCCACTTGCCAGACCACAGCCTCACCCCGATCCGAATCAAAAGTGACAACGAAGACAGCGCCATCTGCAATCAATGCACCAACGATCCAGTGATATGTTGTCCTGTCGAATGCCAGAGCGACGGTATCTGTCCGAGAATCGCGGTTAAGAATGCAAATTGGTAAGAGTGTCCCTCTGACGGAATTTGCTTCCAGGTTTCTTGACACATTTTAACAGGCTTATCGACGGCAGGAAGATCACCAGTAACTCGAAGAAGCATTGAGTTCTGGAGTTTGAGGACCTCGAGGAAGCCCGCAAGGTGCTTTGAACAAGAAGCTGACAACCTGTAATGTCGAACGACGTTCCTGGGACAAGGACTCTGCTTTTGAAGAACTTCGTAAGAATGAGAGAATAAATCCATAGTCTGTGATGTCTTGCTTGGTCAAATCGAGATGCGTCAGAAAGAATACAAGGTTGCAAACAATTGTATATTACATATTGTATTGGGATATCGCCAGCACGAAGCAATCCCTAAACACCGTGCCTGCTCGTCAGATTCGTTCGGTCGATTTCTTTCCTCCACCCACCGTGCTAGTAGCCTGATTCCGATCAGCACATTGGATTGACTCGTGAGAAGCGCCGATGTCTATATTGTGGTACTTTCGGGTTCATTCTCCGTAGGCTTGCTTGATCTCCTTTTCGAACCGCTGCTGAATCTTCTTCCTCTGAACCTTCTGGGCTGGTGAAATGAGCCCCTATTCAGATGGTCAGTAGTCTGTGGGGAAAAAAGCAAGGGCTGGTAGACTTACGTTCTGGGGAGTCCATTCCTCGTCAGCCAGGACCACGCCGTCAATGATCTCAATGCCAGAGAGACCAGCCTCACGGCCAGCTTTCTGCACTTCCTTTAGGACAATCGCGTTGACCTTTTTATCGTGGACCATCTCTTCCAGATTCTCTCCCTGAATACCATTGGCTGCTGCGAGTTTCGCTAGCGTGGCCTCGACTGGCACGATGATGGCAATTGGTTTGGCCTTGTCTGCAGCAGCAAAAACGCAAATATTTCCGACAACAGGGGCGGTTCGGTAAGCTGATTCCAGTTTTTCGAGGGCAATATATTCGCCATTTAGTGTCTTGACCAGATTTTTCTTCCGGTCGATGATGCGCAGGTGGCCATTTGCGTTGAACTCGCCAATGTCGCCGGTCTTGAACCATCCATCCTCGGTGATCGCTTCCTGGGTCTCTTTGTCGTTGTCCCAATAACCCTCTGTGACCGAAGGGCCTCGAATCCAGATTTCACCCTGGGGAGGTTTGTTGGTCGAGAAATACCCAGCGTCAGGGAAGTCAACCAGCTTGATCTCAATACATCCGGTGATATCGCCCAAGGCGTAGGGATCCCACGCCAACGGATCTTGGATACAACCCATCGCAGAAGTCTCAGTCAAGCCATAGCCAGAGATCATTGGAGTGACCGCGTAACTGATGAACTTGATGGTTTCTTCCGAGATGGGCCCGCCTCCGTTGAAGGCAATGCGAAGCCGGCCACCCGTGGCATCCTTCAACTTCTTGAACACGACAGCGTCCAAAAGCCCGGCGCCAGGCAGGTGCATTGAAAGGAGGGTCTGTTTGAGTGACAGGGCACCCCAGAACATGTTCTTGACTATGAAGGAGCCTCCATTGACTTTGGCGAGAATGCCTTTTTTGACGCTTTCCCAGACGGCAGGGACACCGATCAAAATAGTAGGTCGGAACTCACGAATGTCTCCTTTGCAATTCCGGACCGAAGCGTCAGATAACGTCTTGGGATTGCCGTAACCCATGGTTCCACCCCAAAACAAGCAGACGTTTTCAAACATGTATTCGAAAATGTGCGATTGAGGCAGATAAGTCAGCAACGCATCGGCCGGTCCAATGTAGGGGGCCACGACTGTCTGAACTCCAGCCATTGCCGCAACCACAGCCTTGTGCTTGATGGTAACACCTTTTGGTGGTCCAGTGGAGCCGGACGTATACATGATGCAGGCCAGATCTTCCGGGCTGGGGGGTATTGGGTCCGAAGGGTTCTCAGCGCCGGACTTTCGGAGCTCTTCAAAGCTGAGGATTTTCAGTTCGGGGTGAGTGGATTTCAGTTTGTCCAGGTCTGCTTGTTTGACCTCTGGTTCTGTGTTGTAGATGACAGTCTTGAGGTTCTTGACATCTTTGATGACTCTGAGCAGAGTAGGGATGAGGTTGGGATCTAGGAAAATGGCAACAGATTCGGTCTGGACGAGAGAATGCTTCAGTCCCTCCTCACCAAGAGAATCGTAGGCAGTCACTATAGGGATTGACCGAGAGGCGGCAGCATGCGACATGGCCAGCCAATGAGCACTAGGGAGGTCAGACAGGCCATAGATTTGGGGGATGCAAAAGACCTACCTGGTTGCACCGTACAGGTGCATTTTGTTCTCTTTGGAGATACCAAGATGCGCCAAACCGGCGCCGCAGTCAAGGGCCAGCTTCTCGTACTCGATGAAAGTCATATACTCGTAGCCGCTGAGTTCGAAGTAGGTCCACTTCTTGTCCACCTCTTGCTCAACACCATCGACCATCTTCTTGACCTTCTTGTTTTCAACGTGTGTCTTGATGATTCTTCTCGATCCAATGGCTTTGGCATTTCCAAACTTGGCGGCCGCTCGTTTGAGATTGTCAAATACGGTTTTGACGTCATCTGAAGGTCGAACAATAAGTTTGTCTTTGGCCAGGGGATTGCGTCGGGGGATGGTTTCGCCTTCTTTCTTCTCGTAGCCAGAGGCTTCGACAGAGAACGGTGGTTTCTTGGTCATTTGAGGTTGGACATAGCCGTCGACCCTCGGCCGACTGTCATTTTCGAGCGACATCTCGGCTAAAGACATGGCCGCAATGCTAGAGGATAGAATGATGGGATATGGGATGAGTCGTCGAGCTTGAGAGACGGTATCGCCGAGTGGTAGACACGATATATGGAGGAGGCGGGAAAACGGTGAAGCTTTAGGTGATGATTTGCCGCTTCAACCAGAGCGAGATGACGATAACTAGAGGAGGCGAGTTGGTTCGAGGGAGAAAGGGATGATCAAAGGTGGAAGGGGGAAAGAGATGTAGCTGCCTGCGTTGCGCCCAGGACGATTGTGGCGCACCAAGGTTCTTGAGCGTTGAGGAATGGCACGAATGGTGTCTGTGTGAGTGTTTCCTGTGAGTGTCAGAGCAGCCCCCAACCTCGCGACTGCCCAGGTGCCAGGCTTCAACTAGGTACTCGTCGGTTGGCCGGTTGGCGCGCGGCCGCTGAACCAGCAACGAATAATCCGGGGTTGGGGGTTGGAATGAACTAGCTTGTTACGTCACTGGCCTGTCCAGGTGCCTGCGTGCCTGCAACACCACGAGTGCCCAGCTTCAGTGCCCCAAGCGTCACCAGTGACTGCCCAAGCACCAGCAAGGAGTCCATCAACCCCTCGAGCAAATGATGTTGGCTCATCGGATAAATTGGTCGGCCCGCCAAGACTATCTACGAATTCATGCCGAGAGCAGAGTGCCACCTTAACTCTGTACCTCGTACAACTACTCAGTTCTTGAGAACTTCCATAAGCCCTCGATGCTGAATCTTTTCCATCAAGAGCGTCTTACCAGGTGACCAACAGGCCCATGGTATGCCTGTATGATTACCCAGGCTGCCATAAGCACAACATGTATCGTCGTCGGATCACTGCGAAAATCTCCACCTAGCCAGTCCTCCCACCATCACTCTCAGGGCTACTGCTCTCCCTGTGTCAAATCGAATCAAGCATTAATTATTTCTCAACTATGTCTCCTTTTGGTACACTCCCACGATGATGCTCTCTCGTGCCATCATGCTTATGTGAGCGTATGATTGTCTGCAATTCGACGTTCATTTGGTTCCCGAAGCAACGAAGCTCTAGGACCGTTTTCAGCGTTTCTGAAAACGCCCTTTCATTGAACCCTCGTGTTGGTGAGCAAGCAGCAATGGCAAACCAGTCGCCCCTCGCCTTTTTAGGCGAACCGATTGAAGATGCTGGCGAAGGTATATGGCAATAAATGCCGCAATCCAGGGATCGCATTCTGACTGGGAGCTCTAGAAACTTTCCTGTTGTTCAGTCGAGATATGCCGAGCAACAATCTGGGCTTTGTTGACCCCAACGCCGAGTCTTTAGAGATTGAAATCGCAGGCCATGAGTACATTTTGCGGCAGTCCCCGGGTCTTCTCCATTCCAACAGACAGGAAGGGACAACAGGGGCCGTGATCTGGAAGATTACTCCACTTCTGGCGGCCTGGTTGGCATCTTTGCCTCCAATACTGAGCGGCGCTCTACATGACACCGCAGTTGTGGTCGAGCTAGGGTGTGGCATAACCGGCTTACTGGGCTTGGTAGTGTCAAAGTTTGTGCAGTGCTATGTCCTCACGGATCAGCCGTATGTGGTGAGATATCTGAGAGAGAACATAGCGACCAATGCGACGCCGCCAAGGGAAAAGAAGAGGAACAAGAAGAGGGGCAACGAGAAAGGGTTGGCTCAAGAAGAACACCTCAAGGTCTTACCCTTGGATTGGGAGGCGGACAGTGTCGAAAATCTCAAATCAGCCATCCCCCCAAGTGGTTGGGTTGACCTACTCGTCCTCTGCGACTGCGTCTATAATGAGTACCTCATTTCTCCGTTGGTGCAGACTTGTGTGGATGTGTGTCGTCTGGGAGGACCAACTGCAGCAAAGCCTACTCTCGTTCTGGTTGCCCAACAGCTTCGCTCTGATACAGTCTGCGAATTGTTTTTGGCCGCCTTGATGAAGGAATTCAACGTATGGCGCATCCCAGATCGGGAACTTCCATCTCAGCTCCAGGATGGCACGGGCTATGTGGTGCATCTGGCGACCCTGAAGCACGAGGGCAGGGCCGTAGAATAGACAAGTAGATCCCTCCATGCTGAACTCTTTCTCAAATCTCCAACAGATTCATTCTCCAATATGTGTTCCGAGTACCTCGTACAGACAGCTAGCTCTATATATCCAAAGCCCTAGACCTAGTGAACTAGCGCAGAAGTGATCAGGCTCGCGGGGCTTGGCGGTGGCTCCCATTCGAGTCTCGGATGTTTTTGGGGGCATATTGATTCCAGTCCTCCTCTTGCCATCGACTGCCACCTGCGCATGGGCAAAAATTTATCTGCCGGTAGGACCTGTCGCGATACCCTCACATCGTCCGCTTCTGCTGTAAAGCTTCTGGGATTTTTCAGGCTGTTTTGTTGTATCTAAGCATTGGCCCTATCAAGGGCAGCCTCCTCCAACGACCATGGACCTGAGAACCACGATCCAGTCGACTTTGTCAGCCGACGCAACCATCCGGTCCCAAGCTGAGACGGCCCTGAAGCAAGCTGAACAGCATCCTGGGTTCATTGGAGCCCTTCTCGACATCCTACAGTCGGAGCAAGACCCTCCAATCCGTCTCTCGGTCGCCGTCTACCTCAAGAATCGAATATCCCGGGGATGGGCTACTGAACACACTCCTCACCAGCCAATATCCGAACCCGAACGAAAACCCTTCAGAGAACGCTTACTGCCTGTGTTGTCCTCCTCTCCTCCGCAGATTCGAGCACAGCTTATCCCTATCCTGCAGACCATCCTACAGTACGATTTTCCGTCAAAATGGCCCGAGCTGATGGACATTACTCTACAACTGATGAACACACAAGATGCCAATCAGGTCTACGCGGGGCTGCAGTGTCTGTTGGCTGTTTGTCGCACATATCGTTTCCGCGCTGGGGAAGAAAGGCAAAACCTGGACAAGGTTGTCAACGTGGCCTTCCCCACGTTGTTGGGCATTGGGAACAAGTTGGTCAACGAGACCAGTTTGGAAGCTGGTGAGATGCTCAGGCTATGCGTCAAATGTTACAAACATGCTGTCTATTATGGGCTACCAATCCCGCTCCAAACACATCAAGCGACCGTGGACTGGTGCACTCTTTTCTTAACCATCATCTCAAAGAAGCCTCCAGAGAGTGCTATGCCCGAAGATGCTGAAGACCGGGAACGCAGTTATTGGTGGAAAGCACGTAAATGGTGCTACGCAAACCTCAATAGGCTCTTCGTGAGGTATGGAAACCCATCGGCGCTATCTCCTGCCCAAGAGAAGGAATATGGTGCATTCGCGAAAAACTTCATAACAAATTTCGCACCCGAAATCCTCAAGGGCTACCTGAGTGAGATCGAGAAATGGGTCGGGGGCAATCACTGGCTAAGCAAGCCTTCTTTGGCCTTCACCTTGATCTTTCTAGAAGAATGTGTGAAGCCCAAAGTGATGTGGGACAAGCTCAAGCCGCACATGGACAGTCTCATCAAACACTTGGTCTTCCCGGTTATGTGTCTTTCGGACGAAGACTTGGAGCTTTTCACCGACAATCCGGTCGACTACTTGCACAGGAAGCTCAACTATTACGAGGAAGTTTCGGCGCCAGACATGACCGCAACCAATTTCTTGATCGCCTTGACAAAATCGCGGAAACAACAGACTTATGTCATTCTCTCCTACGTCAACGAGGTTGTGTCCCGTTACGAGTCTGCCCCGGACGATCAAAAGAATCCCCGCGAAAAAGATGGTGCCCTGAGGATGATAGGTTCGCTCGCATCGGTCATATTGTCCAAGAAGAGTCCGATTGCGGATCAGGTCGAATACTTCTTCGTGCGACATGTGTTTCCCGAGTTCAGGTCTCCACATGGCTTCCTTCGCGCCCGAGCCTGTGAGACTATGGAGAAATTTGAGCAGCTGGATTTCAAGGACCCGAACAATCTCATGATCATCTATCAGAACATCATGGAGTCGATGGCTGATCCAGAACTGCCAGTCAGGGTGGAAGCTTCATTGGCTTTACAACCCCTCATCAGGCACGATGCCATCCGCATCACCATGCAATCGAACATTCCGCAAATTATGCATCAACTGCTGCAGTTGATGAATGAGGTTGATGTTGATTCGCTGTCAAACGTCATGGAGGACTTTGTGGAAGTTTTCGCAGAACAGCTTACCCCCTTCGCCGTGGCGTTGAGCACCAATCTCCGGGACACATATCTTCGAATCATTCGGGAGATTCTGGAACGGAATGAGGCCAGGGCGGCCGAAACCGGCGATGAACACAACGACTATCTAGACGACAAGTCCATTGCGGCATTAGGGGTACTGCAAACAATCGGCACTCTGATTCTGACTCTCGAGGCGACTCCTGATGTACTCCTTCTTCTCGAATCCATACTGATGCCGATTATTACCATCACCCTGGAGAACAAGCTCTATGACCTCTACAACGAGGTCTTTGAAATCATTGATTCGTGTACTTATGCGTCGAGATCCATATCGCCAACCATGTGGCAAGCCTTTGAGCTCATGCACAAAACATTCAAAGACGGCGCTGAGCTATACCTAGAAGACATGTTGCCTGCTCTAGACAATTTCGTTACTTATGGCCAGCAAAGGTTCATCGAACACCCACCGTACCTGGCTGCTATAGCCGGCATGGTGCGAGACATTTTCGCCGACCCCAAGGTCGGAGGGGTGGACCGCATCTGTGGATGCAAGCTGGCCGAGGCCATGATGCTGAACCTTCGAGGGGGGCCTCTCGACAGCTACATACCGACCTTCCTGACCTTGCCTATGGAGGTGTTGGCCAGCGCAGAAGCCAAGACCGTGATCAGAAGTTACAAATTACATTTGGTGGAGATGGTGATCAACTGTCTCTATTACAACCCCATTCTGGCACTTCAGGTCCTCGAATCACACGGTTGGACCAACAAATTCTTTTCAATCTGGTTCGGCATGATTGACAACTTCCGCCGTGTCCACGACAAGAAGCTCTGTCTCGCGACCATTTGCTCTCTCCTCACCATTCGGGCCGACCAAGTACCTCAGTCGGTTCAAACTGGCTGGCCACGTCTCCTCACCGGGGCAACTTATCTCTTCCGAACTCTTCCCGCTGCGATCAAACAACGAGAGGAAGCTGTCAAAGCCTCTGACGGTGTGTCTGACACGATATCAGACTATGGGTCGGACGACGATGCCGAAGATTGGGCCGACGAACCCGGTCCCGAAGGGCAGGAATGGGGTAATGTTAGCGCCGCCTCCTTGCCGGACACCAAAGGCGACGTCAAAGACGAGTCGCAAGCCTATCTGGACTTCCTCAGCGAAGAGGCTAAGAAATTTGGCGCTCTGGCAGATGACGACGACGATAGCATCCTCGATGATAGCACTCTGCTGGAGAGTCCGCTGGACAAGTTCGATCCTTATTCGGCCTTCAAAGAGTCATTGGACAAGCTCCAGGCAGAACAACCCCAGCTATATCAAAATCTGACGTCGATCTTGGAGCAATCAGATCGTGATGTCTTGCAGAGCGTTGTCAACTATGCCGCTGCGACACACGCTGCCCAAGCGCAACAAGCGCAACAAGCCCAGGTGCAGGGATAACACCACTGGCATAGTCATGTCAAGAGGATGCAAGACTGGCTCATTTCACTCTGCGCATTGTGGATAGCGAGCGAGTGGCCGATGTGAAAGATGTGACTTAATGGGGTTCTAGCTTCATGGGCGCTACTGAGAAAGAGGTGATCATCAGTTCTACTTGAGCGTGAAGAGCAAGCGTCATTTTTGTATCATGGGGTCCGGTTAAGTGGCGGCGGCTACCGCGGTGCCTGCGCCGTGTTGCTGGTCTTTGCTTGAAGGAATGCTCCAGTACTCTTTCTGGGGACGGGGGAGGTCGATGATTTGAAGGTTTGCGAGCAGCACAAGATTGACTTTTCGAATGTCTGCCCTGAGGGTGGCTAAACAACAAGCTCTCTGAGGCTGTTCTGGGAGGGTGACTTTGCGACACCATCAACCCCCGGGCGCAGGAAAGATAAAGATACAACATTCCGAAGTGCCATCAATACCGACGTGGACCCGAGTCAATGCATGGCGTGAGGCGTCTCTCCTATCTACACAGACACTGGACAAACAGCTTCTGTCGGCTCCCAATGTTTTATTTCCCCGTGAAACCTCATTTCCGGATTCCAGATCTCAATTTTCCTTTTGGGGAGGGATCTATCATGCATGCGAAGAAGTTAGCGAGCGAGGGCGAGTGGACCTGGACAGAAATTAGAGAGACAGAGACAGGAAGGGAGGGATGGGGGAGAAGAGAAGAGGAGAGAAGAGGAAAAAAGGACCCAAGAGATAGATATCAAAGGTATTATCAATATCCTTTTAAACCGTCCGTCTAGTTATTGGTTTATTGTTGACCCTACCCATGGCATGAGCTTTGATTTAATATGTATTCACGTAGTCAATAGCATCCATCTCGATCCCGCTCGCTCCCTTTGTTTTTGACGGGAGCCATCCGTGTCGGTAAACGCACCCCTTGCTTGCCTTGTTTTGCCTCATTTTGTTTGTTTTGTTTTCTGCTTCTGCGTCTGGTGTGCTTCTCCTTCTTCCTCCTCCTTCTGCTTATATGTTCTCCCTGCACTGATCTGAGCCAGGTCACCCTGGAACGGGCCACGGACGAGTTCTTTGAAAAAATCCGAGGGTATATAATATACCTACGGTCGGTCATTGTGTGGACGGTGACGAGCGCGGGTAATCAGTGTCAGTGCCGTTGTCAGTGTCAGTGTCAATATCGGTGCGACCTTCTGTCAGCCTGTCATCGGCTCAGCCGCCAGTTAGTCAAGTCAGTCAGCTGCAGGCGCTTGCTTGGTTACTTGTATTGATTTGCGGATAGGGCGGCCCATACATCGATACAGACAGACGGTTCATACACGAGTGAGTGCGCAGAGCGGCAGAAGTCGAGTGAAATCAGTGGGTAACAGAGGGATTGAGTCTGCAACGCTGCCTGGGCTCTGGACAGGTGTCGACGAGGCGCCTCCGTTACTCCGATACCACCGCAACAACAGAGCAACAGCCCAACCCTCTTCGTCTCCCTTGATTCAGAACAAAAATCAATTAAAAAAGAAAAAGGCACTGGCACCAGGTTTCTTCGAGAGAAAAAAGTGATCAAACATTGTCCACTCGCGTTTGAACAATTTAGTTAACAAGCCATCCTTGACCATGACAAAGTTACCTGGTGAATGATGCCAATGTCCACAGCCAGCTTCGAATTCTCCCCTTTCCTCAAATAGCCATGTGCAAACAGATGATACTGTGGGCGTTCTCAAACCGTAAAGTGCCGGGATTGTGTCGCAGGCCTGTAGTGCTCCGGCCCTGTTGGATGCCATATTGGATAGTTTCTTTTTTTCTCCCCACAACTTTTGTCTGTCCATTTTTGCCCTTGTCCTGTTCCATACCTTTGTGTTCCACGCTCTTGCTCCTTCGCTATGCTGGCAATACCCCCCTAGACAACAGCAACATACACATGTGCACGCTCAAGCCCCAAGACCACACATTTCCCATCGATGCCATACAGTTTTGTTCGCACTCGTACCAGGGTAGTTTTTGTTTTCTCTAGACCTCCATGCTCCCTCCCCTTTGTTCGTGCAGCCTATTCCTGGGGTTTCCATGGCCATTTTGTGCCTCTGCGCATCTTTCTTCGATTCCAACCCCGCAGTCCCGAGCAAAAACACACAAGCCAAGTTCTCTAGAGTCGTTCCTCATATGCAAAGATTGTCCCATTGCCGGCGCTTTCGACCAAGTTCAAACCCTCCAGCAGCCCAGCCTCCAGCACCGCCCGCCAATATCCACGATACAAAGCTAGTAAACAGATGTGCATTGAATCTGCCAAGAATCAAGTACATGAAAGTGGGGCGAAAAAAACAAGTAGACAACGTTGCTCAACATGAAAGATGTCGTCGCAGTCGTGAATCGGTCAAATGAGTGAACTTTAGTGACGTTGTGTAGGCGACTTGAGAAAGGCAGAGAGTTCGGTGGATGGGAGGTGGGTTAGGCGGGGCTCTTCGCGCTCTGAGGACCACCATTGCGACGAGGGCCTTGGTTGTCATCGGGCGTCACCATGCTGAGGCTGTCAATACCAGCAGAGAGGAACGCGAACGGGTCTCCACCGGGGCCATTACCGTAAAAGCCATTCTGAGGAAGATTGCTCGGTGCATTCGTGTCTGCAGCACCGCTAAAGGCAGCTTGAGCCGCAGGGCCGAACGAGGAATGTGACATGTTGCTAGATGCGTAGCCGGGAGTCATGTTGCCCATCTGTGGGAAGGGAGCCGCTGGTGGGCCACCCATACCGGAAGGCATGCCAAATTGACTGGGTGGCTGAGCAAACGCCGCTCCAGAACCGAAAGCAGCTGCACCAGCACCGTACGGAGCGGGTCCTGGAGTGCTAGCCATCGAGCCTGGCCCCATGCCATACTCGGAAGGAGGTGCCATTGGAGAGGGATAGGCCGAATCGACCACGACTGCAGCTCCGGAGCGAGGGGCACCACAACGCAGACAGTTGACGTTCTTGGCAAAGTTGTGGTATGAGCAGCCTTCTGCACCGCATCGCCAATCACCAGCTCTGAAAGGAACAATACCAGCGCCGCCACGGCCGTGATGGCCCACTCCATGTCCATGGTGTCCCATGTGAGGATGATGGCCCATCATGTGAGGAGGTCCATAGCCGGGGTACGAATTGTAATATGGATCAACACCCGTAGCTCCTCCAGCAGGGAATGAACATCTGAAGCAGGCAGTACGGCGTTGGAAGTTGGAGAAGCCACACGAAGGACAGTTCCAGTCGCCTGGCCGTGGTCGGTTTTTGCTTGGAGGGAAGGGAGTCAAGATCTCGGCGGCACGATCGAGGACTCGGCTTGAAGAAGGCGAGACCTCGATGGCCTTTTCGTTGAGAGCGCGTCCGTTCATACAGAGACTTTCAGCGGCCTGTGAAGCAAAGTTAATTTTGTGTCAATCCAGGATCCAAGTATGAAGGGGAGGAGGGGGGGGGGAGAACTGATGAAGTGTCGGAAGAGTTTGAAGAGGGGGGAAGAAAAGGGTTGATATCAGTGTCGTAAATGTGAAACTGGGAAATGAAAGTGAGACATACCTCTTCGTGGGAAGAGAAGACGGCGAAACCTGACCCGGTCGGCTTGTGCTGATCTGGAGTGCGAAGGGTCCAGAATGCGATTGGCCTCCCTCCGAATTGAGTGAACCAGCTCTCGAGTTCAGACTGCGTTGTGTCGTGCGGCAGACCGTTCATGTGTAGAACCTTGCTGCGTTCTTTCAAGAAGGCATTCACGTCGGCCCTGGCGTCCATGGGGCGAGTCAAGACATCCGGATGTTCGTGGGCGGGCTGAGACTTCCGAATGAGGCCCCGGAGAACCCTGGCCAGAGTGACTGCCTCTTCCATGGCGCGGCGAGGGGAGGCAGGCGCCAACGCCTGCAGATGGAAGGGCAGGTTGTGCTTGATTGGCGCCGACGATTGCACAGGCTCCACCTCGAGAGCAGCACAGATGTTTGCGAGAGAACTGGGGCCAAAGGGCAGGGACTCTGGATGGTGCTGCTGCCATCGGGCATACTCTGAACGCAGGTCAAAGGTCCGGGAGTGTTGCAGGTAAGCCGGTAGGACGACTGCCTTATCGCGAGCTTCTCGAGGCAACTGGACCCGCAAATCCCAGGAATCCAGTGTGACAAAGGAGAACTCCAGGTTCTTGGATATAAGGTGCTCCTGAGCGAAATGGTCAAAGCGAGTGACTGCATCCCGGAAAGAGCCGGCATTGCGAACATGTTCCCAAGTCAAGGTGGTGAGGCTGGCTGTGATTGCAAGGATCAGTTCATGCAAATCTCCGTCCTCCCGACACAGATGTACTCACTGCAAAGGGGTGTGATGGGCGTGTTGACGGGCTTCACTAGGACGCTCTCCCGATAGATCTGGCACATCTGTCAACAGGTCCGGTCGTTGCTTTGATCGCCTTTCATCTCCTTTATCCTCCTCCGTAGCAGGCATCGCCAAGAAAACGTACCTCATCACACGTCTTACTGTCGAGCAAGATCCAACCCAGTTCAATTACTTCTGCAGAATCTTTTGTCACATAAACACCATGTTCATCGCAAGTGGTCGCAACATGAATGACCACGTAGCGGTCAAGCTTGGGGACGGATGGAGCAGTGGTCGCCATGACGGTTACGGAAAACGTGACCGTCGGGGTTTCGCTGGGAGGATGATAGGACAGGCGGGTAAATTATTGAGCAAGTCGAGAATTCTGGGCTATGCTTGAGACCGTGTCAGCCAGGATTCTAACAGACCGTGGGCAGGAAAAAGAAAGAAGTACCAGATAAGAGCTCACAAACGTCGAGTCAGGGAAAAAAAAGCAGACCACCGACCCAACTCCAGCAGCTCGGGGGAAGGTTTCAAGTGCAGGACAAGCGGCGAAGATGAATTTGATACAGGTCAACCTCTCTCGGATTCCCCCTGAAGACAACAGGATACGGAGGAAAAGAGAGGCAATTCGACAAAGATCACAAACGGACGGGAGTGATGCCGATGGCTGCGAAAGTGAGTTGGGGAGAAAGATGAGAATCCCAAGTGGAAACAACAGCAGAGATGGAGTTCAGTTCGGGTGCAAGCAGTCAAGTTTGTCGAGGCAAAATCGGGGGAGCTAAACTACAAACTCACGTTCAACTCGGCTTTTCCAGTCCAGTCACCCAGTGGCTTACTCTAGGTATCCCACTCCCACGCAAACCAACCCGCTAAACCTAAGTTAAGGACCAAACGGCTGCAGACCACCGACCGGATTCCTGGGTTTTGGTGGTGGCTGGTTTACAAGCGATTCTCTTGTTGATCTTTGTCCCTGCTGCAAAGAAAGTCAATGCCCACGATAACTGGGTGTTTGAGAAGAAGTCCCCGTCCACTACTGGGTATTCTCAGACGGTGGGCCACGGCGCAGGTCGTTGGGGCTGTCACTGTCACCCATATTTCTCGAATCTCAATTGCATGGAAGTGTGACCTTCGAAGCATCTGCCTACTGCTGGGGTTCCATCACTCCGGGGCCGACAGGCGAGGGTACCGTGGCCATGGGTTCACCATGTTGTCCTACGCATGTTTGATTGATGACCGCACAAACCAAGGGAAAACCAAGGTGAGTGCAACCAACATGCCCCATTCATGATCTGCTCTACCTACTAATACTGGCTCTCACACAGCAAGCGACGTCTTATTTTACCATGCCTCCTCGTGGATATCTGCAGTCAATGACAGCCCTGCTTCGCGTGCAGCTAACCGCGGCGAGACTCGCACAAGCAACAAGGACGAAGGACGTCAGAAAAATTTAAGAACGGCCCTCCCACCTGCGTGGTCAGTGTGGCTTGTTTCAGGACGCTGGGCCCTGGACTTCCGGAAAACGGCCTGCTCTGCTAATGCTAGTTGGTGGAGCTGCGAAGCACGGTTCAAGTAAGGCTCCGTCTGTCAGTTCCGTGAGCTAGAAGCTCCCTGTGCCTGTACGAGGAGGCTTGCTAGGGCCCAGGGACCAGGGGAGCAGGCAAAGGTTGTTAGTACCTAGGCTACTGATAGTGGGCACTTGCTAGGCGTTGTGCTAGGCTAGGTGGCTAGCTCCCACATCCACCAAATTCCGGAAACGTGGGATTCGCAGCGAGGGGCGCGAAGGGCTCTGTGCAAAAAAAAAAAAGCTTACTCGTACACTTTTTAATCCAGCAGAATTTCACACTTATTTTGTGCTCCGGGACCGCATCCCCTTCCATCATCATCATCAGCGCGGGGTCCACCCTCGACTCTGCACTTGCCTGCGGGCTGATGCGTTGGTCTCCAGGTCTTCCACGAGCCCCGAGCATTGGCGTGCTGCCAGTGGCGCACTGAGGGGCTCAAATGTACCACAGAGAGAGGCCTGTCGTGTTGACTGTCTCTGCTTTCTTCACTGATTGACGCAGGTTGACACAGATTGACCACCAGGGGTCCTCCATCACATCACGTCCGGGCCCTGCAACTTCAGCTCGCGGTTTTCCACCCCGTTTAGAGCCTCTTGGTACCGCTCCTCCTAGACTGAAATATCAAGTGATTTTCATTTCCAGAAGGGGAAAGCGCCTCTTCCCGAGTTCCGGTGCACGAGCAGATGCGGTTCTGACGAAGACCCCCGGCCCCCGGTGCCCCTAGAGCTAGGCCAGCAGGGGTTGGCAGCTGTCAAGCCAACTTTGCAGAATGAGAATATTGTCTGACACAAAAATACCCTGTGCGCCGGAGAAAACCACCTGAAGACGATAGAGTGGTCACTGTGCCAGAGTGCACCTCACGTCGGAGAAGAAGAGGAAGGGGAACACTACTGTCCCTCAAGAGCGAATCTTGCCGGAGGTACAGGTCAATATCGCCTATACCAGGGACCTCCGTCATTTCATCGGATTCAGATGGTCTCTTCTGCGCGTTTCTGTAAACAGGCTCGATGGGCTTGATGGAATGGGCAGGGCTGCCTGAAACGGGCTGGCTGCAGGTTGCAGGTGCGCCCGTTTCCACCTGTGCCCGTGCTCCGGGTTGCCCACGCTTTCCCAGTCCCCTTTGGGTGAACCCCCTTCTAATCAGCCAGCACGTTGCTCCAGGTACGCAGTAGGCAATGTGGCAGTCAAACGGAGTACTCGTACTCAGTACACCCCGCCTCCTTTCTTTAACTACGAGTACGAGCACTGCCGATGTCCCACCAAGCCTCTTTAGGCTTCGTCACAAGCGACTTGCTTGTCCCAAGCCCCAGCCCGTCTGAGCCAATGATGCCATTATGAGCCGTTTCTACCTCATTGTCACTACCTGGAAAATCACCCAATGGAAATGTCCAGATCAGATCTGAGGGTTACGAAAAAGCAACAGCAAAGATGCCCAATATCACCTGTCGTGGAAGATATTCACTGTGCAATGTCAATTCCTTCTTGAGGTATGGATCGGCATGTCCTACGGCTGATCCTGATGCCCAATCCGAGCACCCATCCCCGGTTGTGCCGCTGCCAAACACACCATAAACAAACCGCTACGCTATATCAAAAAGTGAAAGGCTAGAAACTCACTCTCTTGCTCAACCCTCTCTCTCCGAATCAACCACGATCTTCCGCTGATCGTCGGCTGCTCTAGAACATTGAACTAGAGAACGTTCAAATCGAATGCAGCTTCATAGCCATTGTAGGCCACGCCTCTCAGATTCCAAGCTGATCGTTCACAGGTTTGCGTGTTACCCCCGGCGTCGGTGGCTTTTGCGAAGATCCTTTTGCCTTTACCTTTCTCCATCTTGATCTCGGCTCTCCACAGAGACCAGGTCCAACGGCTGGCATCCTTGCCACCATCCTCGAGATGCGCGTCGGTCCAAGTTCTGCCTTCATCACCAGACACCTGAACCCTGACCACCGGACCTTGAGCGCCTTGTGGAACAGCATACCCAAACACCTCGATCTTCCCAGAAGAAGGAAGAACAATCGTGGAGCCCGAGGTTGGGTAGGCAACACAAGAGTTAATCGGCATGTCCAGCATGGAGGGACACTGGTCCCAGTATTTCTCAGCGGTTTCAACACAAACCGCCTCGGGCGGCAAAATCTTGTAGTCATGCTGCTGATAGAAACATGGTGATTCCCTGTCGGAGACGGTGATGCGGTCTAGCCATTTCACAGAACGAGCCCCCAGCACTCCCGGGACGATGGAGCGGACGGGGAAGCCGTGTCTGGCAGGCAAAGGCAAGCCATTCATCTTGTGCCCAAGAAGTGACAAGTCAGCAGACGCGCCGTCGAAAAAGGGGGCAAGGTTACGGTGCGCTCTCTATTCGTACCTTGACCGCCAGGATCACATCCATGGCTGGGTCCATAGCCCGGTCGAAGGGGATGCTACCCCCATACCACTCGTCGGCCTGAGTCTTGCCCCCGTAATTGGCAAAGTGGACATGTTTTGGTGGTACATTGTCACCCATGGCGCAGTGGTCCTGAACTCCGGCGGCGAGCAGAATGTCACGAACCCGAGGCCCCTCCCACACGCAGGTCATCAGAGCAGCATCCTCCCAGTCGACCCCCAAGACCTCCCTGATGCGAGTGCGCATGGTGTGTCTGCGGTTACCGGCGCACTGCAACGTGCAGGTCACCCTGGCTTGCGGGAAGTCGTTCATGAGCTGGTCGACGGTGAGACTGAGGGTCCTGCAGACGAAGCCCTCCCCGTCAACTGTGACTCGATGGTCCGTCCCGACCTTGTGTTGAATCGGACCGTGGTTCCGGTCATAGTTGTCGGATTTGGTGATGAAGCTGTTGTCAAAATTGAGAGACTATTCTTGTTCGGGGAAAAGAGAATGTTTCCCATACCTTGAAACAAGATCGATCATATACGGCTCCCGATTGATGGGTTTTTCGACCGTGCCATCGTCGTACGGACAAACTTTGGCCTGTTTCGGCGTGTCAGCAATGGTGGTCTTCCCCTGGACAACGCAGCACAATGCACGGGCAGCCTTACAACTGGCATGGCGAGCAGGTTCGACGTCTGTGAGACTCTTTGGAAAGATGAGCTCTACTGGAGAGATGTCGTCCTTGAGAGGGATGAAGCGGTGGTTTGCACCCGAGGGAGCGGTGGGAGGCAGAGAAGATCAAAGGGGGGGTAAGGGCATTCCCACCGCCATCTCGCAGTTGCTGGCACCGACGCTGTTCCCCGAAACCCCGATTGTTCTCCTGATAGGAGACTGGGTCAATGGAAAGTTCGTGCGGGGCAGAACGTGCCGATGCATGATTGGAGTGTTCTACTTGGTAGATCTGCAGGAGTTGTTGGTCCTGTAGTCTGGTGATAGAAATTCTCCTTGAAACACCCAGGTTTGTATAGACCTAGCCAGCTGCTGCCGACTAGCAAGGCTGAGCATGTCAGGATACCTACCCACAACACGGTCTGCTACTGGAGATGGAGAGCCACTGGAGCCCTCAAGTTAATAGGGAAGTTGGTTCAGCCAATCAGAGAGGCCATTGAGACGGAGCCATCGAGCACGCAATTTTACGGTCGATCATAACCATCTGACTAGCACGTGTAGTTGTATGCTCGGTACAAGCGGTACTTTCTGGATGGCAACGCAGATTGACCTGCCCAGACACCTGCTCTGAAGAAATGATATGGCTCAGCATCTGTGTAGTGGAAGCTATCTTCTGAACCTAATACTTGGGCAGGATATGTATGCAGTACTTGTAGTTGGCAAGTATGGACTGAATAGAGCAATTTCTGGGGCCTGTGATCCGCTGTATTCCAGTAAACATCGCTCGTCTCGGTTCACCTGCCGTTCATAGTTTCTCCAATCGTGCAATGGGCTTCGGATATTGATTCGACCTTTCTCCGCCATCCGCTGCGATAGCCTTGCCTGTGACCAGTTGGATCAGCAACTATATCTTTCAGCATGACCCTGTGGAGGTACGTTCCCTCTTTGCTTCCGCCGACGATCGTCGCCTGACCCGTCTACAGCTCCTACAAGGCTCTTTCCCCAAAGACCCGCGCGGTCATAGGTGTCGCGCTGATGCTCAATGCTTCCGCGATGCTGCTGTTTTCGGATCAAATCGAAGCGTCCCTCGGACTGACGCCGCCTCCTGACGATCGCCAAAAGGTTCTCAAGGTGTACAGCGTGGAGCGGGAGACCAAGGGATGAAATTGAAGCAAGAATGTCGACGCAGGTCAGACGGTCGCCCGTGCCGTCCACCACGCCTCTTTCTACGAAGGGACGATGCCTGGAGCCGATTTCCGCAGCGAAGTTATGTTGTCGGTGGTATACATTATCAATACATGTGGGTCTGCGGAGAGGCTGCGTGCCACGTCGGAGGGCTACCGGTCGTCTTTTATGTGGAAGAAATGCCGACTCCTTGTCAGTCCCCAACGCATTTCCGACGACCGAAGCACAGAAGAAATTGGCGCTACTAGGTGTTCAAACAGTGAGGAGATGGGGTTTCATGCCATGCCGGAGGACAACGAGCAAAATCGAGTCGATGGAGTCCAGAAAGGATGAACCCAGAGCTCGACATGCTGCTCGATACCCTACCCAACTGAGGTCTGGGACTGCTTATTGGAAAGGATGATGGAGATGATGATCTCGGCTGGGCTGAGGGAGAGTCCCGCACCCTCCTGTGATTGTGAACCACGGCGGGTTGATAATGTTCTCAAATTCGAACTGGATGGGTGCTGTAGGAAGAACCTTGGGAACCCGCGCTCGCCTTTCCCGAGGAATTTATTTCCAAGCCTCGCTTTTGAGACATTTCTTGTCACAAACCTCTGGACTCTTGATTAGTACGCTCAGTGTCCAATTGATTGGTAAATCCACTCAGGGATACAATGCCGACGCAGATAGATAAAGCACTGCTGTCCACAAGTACTCATGCAGTTTGGTAGAATGATATCTATGATCTCTCGGTGATTCATTGACCCGAAATCGCCGAATAGGAAACTAGGTCTCACCTTCATTTCCAAACGAAACCTCTTTGTCTTATGATCAGATCAATGGAGTTTACATTTTTCTAGCCGAGTTTGGTGCATAGTAAATAATACTCAGCATAATCTGCTAGGTAATAGGCCCTCTATTTTAGAGATTCGTTTTTTGAAAAAGTGCTTGAGGTTTGGGAGTTTGCGGTTTTGCACTTGGCCGTTGGAGGGAAACAAGCTATTCCGATCCAATTGGATCCTCCTTTCTTGCCAGATGGCTACGGGCAGACTGTCGCCAGCGACCTTATACAGGCTCAATCACAGATTAGGACCTCGCTGCGGCCATGGCCCATTGGCCCCTATCAGGACCTTTGCGAGTTCGTCGTCCCTCTGCCTCCGCACGACCGAGCTCGACGGACCTAGATTGAGCGGGTTGAAGGTCAACCCAGCCCGGCTCTGGGACACGATCCACACGACAGCGCAATGGACTTCGGCCGCGAAACCGAAGACGGGCGATATCAGGACTGAGGGACTCTCGCGTCTGGCACTCGCCGACGACGACAAATCCGCGCGGGACTGGTTCATCTCCACCACTCAGTCTCTGGGATGCAGGACCCATGTGGATCAGATGGGAAACATCTTCGCCATCAGACCGGGCCTATCGTCGTCGACCTCTCGGCCCGGCAACAGAGTCGAAGCACCTGCCACGTTTGCCGGCAGCCACTTGGACAGTCAACCGAGTGGCGGACGGTTCGACGGCGTCTTGGGTGTCGCTGCGGGGATCGAGATGTTGAGGGTCCTGAATGAGAACTGGATCGAGACCGAGGGCGACGTGGGCGTGGTGAACTGGACAAATGAAGAAGGCGCTAGGTTTCCGGTTAGTATGATGGGGAGCTCGGTCTGGGCTGGACGCGTAGGGCTAGAAAAGGCATGGGGTGTTCGCAGCGTCAGTCCGGGAGTACCCCAGGCCACGGTCAAGGACGAACTGCAAAGAATTGGATATCTAGGAGACGTCCCTTGCTACCGTGATGGGAAGCCCGGCACACCCTTGGGCGCGCATTTTGAATTGCACATCGAGCAAGGCCCGAAACTCGAAAGGGCGAGACAAAAGGTCGGGATTGTCGAAGGCGTCCAAGCATACAAGTGGTTCACCGTCACGATAACGGGCAGAGAGTCACACTCCGGCACCACGGATTTCGACAATCGCGCCGACGCCCTCTATTTTGCCGCAACCTTTCTGCACAAGATTCGCAAGATCGCCGAGAGTCTGAAAGGGCTAGCAACCGTGGGGATCATGCACGTCTCTCCCGGCAGCATCAACACCGTTCCCGGACAGGTCGAGATGAGTTTAGATCTGAGAAATCCTCTGGACAGGGGCTTGAAGAGGATGGTCAAGAAGGTCGAGGAGTTTATCCAGCTGGTGAACGAAGGTGATCACACGGACTCGCAGGACGCGAAAGAAGGGGCCGGCAAGAACCACAGTGCTTCCAAAGCGGCGCCCTCGGAGAGGGTTTCAAGGTTGAAGGACAACCCACTCACGAAGATCCGAGTCGAGATGAAGGAAGACTTTTCGAGCGACGCCATCTCGTTCAACCCAGAGGCACTGCAGTGTATCGAGGAGAGCGCCCTGGCTGTCTTGGGTGGCGACGCGACCAAGCTCCAGCGAATGCTGAGCGGCGCGGGCCACGATTCCGTCTGCACCAATGTGCACTGTCCGACGGGCATGATCTTTGTGCCTTGTAAGGATGGCGTTTCGCACAATCCGAGCGAGTGGTGCGATGAGGAGGACTGCGCTATAGGGGCGAATGTGCTTCTTCATTCGGTGTTGAGGATGGATAGGCTGAGGAAGGAGAGAGGAGATTTTGACTGAGATAAAGAATGACAAAAATTTGGAAAAGGTCAAAATATCGTGAGAACACTTCAAGAAGCAATAAGGAACAATCCTACGGCAGAAACGCGTCGGCCGACCAACGGAGGGTGATTGCGGTCTCAATGCATGACAATTCGCCATGTGCTCTATGTAGTCTCACGCGAGTTTTGGCACAGACATCACATCTGGGCGTCGCTCCGAAACATGCTCAACTGGCGCTATCGCCGCTTGTCCAGGGCCTTCAACAATGTGCTTTTTGGAAAAGAGGTCTTCATCTTTCAGATATGTTCATGTGCACGCAGGCCAGCTCCCGGCAAAGCAGATATTCCAACCCTCTAAGAGGCCGCAGGGGGGGCTCCACGGCCACGTCCAAAGCCACCACGGAAGGTAGGCGCAAACTCGCCAGGAGCACCACCCTCTTTACCCTCACCACGGTCCTCACGACGACGATATCCACCCTCACGATCACCACGGGGTCCACCACGGCCGCCGCCACGGCGCTCACGGTCATCACCACCCATCATACCACGTGGAGGAGCATGGCTGCGCTGCTGCTTGATGTGTGTCGCGGGGACGATCTCAGCGGGCAGGTGAAGCCATTCGCGCAAGTAGTCCAGACCCTCGGGAGTCAAAGTGTAGTAATAGTATTGCCAGGAGAACTGCGTCTTGAGGTATCCACGGGAGGTGAGGGACTGGCAAGCCTTGATGACCTGTAACACATCATGTCTTGTTAGTCCTGCTTTTTTCTCTCTCGTCTATTGCAACTCGGTTGCGCAAACGTACAAAGAGGTTCTTGGTGTCAATGTCGCCATGCTTGGGGAGGTTGTAGTCCTTCTTGGCCACGAGCACACCTTCGCGGAAGAGGTACTCGTGGATCTTCTTGCGATCGGCCTTGGGAATAAGCCTACAAAGCAGAGGTTTTTCGTCAGCATTGGATTGTCTCAGAGAGCAAGCAGGGCGACAAGGTGTCCCACATTTTTGCGAATGGCCCTAGGTTTTCCTTTCTGAGAATGAAAAGGCTGAAAGGGAAGAGGAAAGGTTGCTGCGAGTTCCTGGCGCTCTTCGGGGAATCGCACACAACAGGAGGTGAATTTGGAAAAAGAGTGGTGGAGGTGGTGGAAGTGTGAAGGTTCAAAGCCAAAGAGGACATTCCATGCAGCCCCAAGCCGAATGTGTGAGTGTCGACGCCAAGATTCAACTCTTGGCAATTATTCGGTGGATTATTATGACAGTCTGGTGAGATTTCTACATTCACTGTAGTCCGCCAATAGGAAGCCTTGAACGGACTCTGGACTACCTCACCAATCCCAGCAGTCCACCGTACGAACAGCCGACCCCTTGGCAAGAAAATTCTTGGCAGGCGAACTGGCGCACTCTCTGGATTTTGCGATTTTTGGATTCGTGGGACTGAACGACCCTCTACTTCGAGACGACAATACACACCACATCTCAACAAGATCTCGACGACGTACTCTTAATTGCTCTCTGAGGGACTGCTGATTTGATCAGGTCAGTATTTGAAATTTGCTGTGTACACCTGGCAGGAGGAAATGCATTGAAGAACCCACGAAGACGAACAATCTCCCTCCAAAGCTTTCGACCACCCATCCATCCCGCACTTGACACCTGCTGTTGTGGACATAAAAACAACCTCAATACTGACAAGTTCGTGTTTCATTTGCAGGCCTCCTCAGTACCGCAATCATGGGTATCTCACGAGACAGCCGCCACAAGCGGTCTGCCACCGGTGCAAAGCGCGCATACTACCGCAAGAAGAGGTACATATTTTCCCACCATGCGAGGATGTTTCCTTGAGCAAGAGAGAGATAGACAAAGATGATCAAAGTCTGACATTTGTGCTTTCGCTATTTACAGAGCCTTTGAAAAGGGTCGTCAACCAGCCAACACCCGTATCGGCACCAAACGTATCCATCTTGTCCGCACCCGAGGCGGCAACACCAAATACCGTGCGCTGCGCCTGGAAAGCGGCAACTTCTCCTGGGGCAGCGAAGGCATCGCCCGCAAAGTCCGTGTCATCGTTGTGGCCTACCACCCTTCCAACAACGAACTCGTCCGCACAAACACCCTCACCAAGTCCGCCGTTGTGCAGATCGATGCGGCCCCCTTCAGAACTTGGTACGAAGCGCACTACGGCACGAGTATTGGGCGGAAGCGGACGCAACAGACCAAGGCTGCCGGCGCTGGTGCTGCGGCTGCCGAGGGTGGAGAGACCAAAGTCAGCAGGAGCGTGCAGGCGAAGCGGGAGGAGCGGTTGAAGAAGAGCGGCAAGATCGAGCCGGCGCTGGAGAGACAGTTCGAGGCCGGCCGTCTGTACGCCGTCATCAGCTCTCGGCCTGGCCAGAGCGGCAGAGTGGACGGCTACGTTCTGGAGGGTGACGAGTTGGCCTTCTACCAGAGAGCTATCAGAAAGTGATAAGGATATGATACTCGACTGGCGGGAAACATGGTGGGGGTGTAAGAACAGGCCGACTACATCTGCAAAAAAGGGATGCTTGTCCGTCTCGAGGGTGACCTTGTCGGATGTGGTGGAAATGGCAAGAAAAAGACAAAAAAAGTCCTCAAGTCTGGGTGGTAGTGGACAAAGCAGTCGATTTTTGACAGAAACCGATTGTCGTCTTGACGATTACGAAGATGGCGGGTTCTGGTCGTGGGGCACAATGAGCTTTAGATCAATCTTCTTCCTTTTCTTTTTTTTTTGCTTGCTTCGACTCTTGCTTGCTTCTTCTAGCCTATCAACAAACATCCCTTGATACCTTGATAGTGTCAAGGGCCTTTCCTTGCTCACGGGCATGCAAGGCGACTTGCTGAAAGGACAGAGAAGGGAGGAGAAACCAAACAAGCAAAAAGGGAAAAAGTAACAGATCGATGGCTAGAATTCAATTTCAATCAATCACTCATGTTTGTTGAAAGTTCCTTAGCAGTAGACTGGCTGACTGGGTACAAGAGCTCGAATCAGTGTTTTTCCAGACCTCCCCCAAAACTCTGGAAATTTCTCGTCACACCAGGCCCTTTCATGAATCATTTCAACTGTGAAAGTTGACATTCGGTCCCTCATCTGCCTTTGTCCGACAAAGTCCGTTTGAACAAGAAAGTCATTGCCCCTGTTTGCTTGCTTGCTTGCCCCCTGCGATCACCCAAGAAAAGGCCTTCCCCAGGCTCCTGGTCGCCAACAAGATCTAGCTCCTGAAACAGGATCCATCCTTTCCAAAGCACATTCGGCTATCGTACGCTCAAACGTACGCAACCTTTCTCCTGGTGGGATTGACAAGGACATGGCAACTCAGTCGATCTTTTTAATCACTGGAAGGCCCCATTCCTCGTTGGGGGTAACGCTGATGAAATAGCCGCAGCTCGAAAAGGACAGCATCTCAATGTGCAACTGGACACACATCGCCGATCAGGATGCAGTGACGTTGCCGTCGTGATGTATAGTCAGGGCTGCACCAAATGAGTTAGCCATACAAGTCAGCAAGATTGACAGCGAATAAACTGACCAAGAGGCTCCTCATCACCAGTATTTCCGTCGAAGGAGAAAAACTCGTCACGAATCGCCTGTGCATACTGACAGACCGAAGCTTCGACTTGAGGATGGACGGGAGTCATACTCACCATACCCATCTGTCGGCTGAACGGGGAAGAATTTCTCGCGTACGCGGCTTGAATCCTAGCCTGGCGCTCAGCTTGACGGCGGGCAGCTCGCACACGTAGTTCCTCAAGTTTGGCTTCATGAACTTCGATGGCGGTGAGAAGTCTCCCATGAGTATGGTAGAAGTCCTTGGAGACTTTGAAGTTGAAGAGGATGTCTGCTGCGGTGGAGCTGGCCTCCTGAAGACGATTCTTCTCGAGGTTGAGAATGGTGTCAAAGGTGGCTCTGTCAACATTGCTGTAGTTTGCGACCTTGGACAGAGCGTCTGGAATGACCTTGATGCAATGGGCCAAAAGCTTTTTGTCATCGCGAGAAATGAACAGATTGTGAGTGAGCTTGATGTAGAGTTCAAAGCTGACCAATTCAGCCGTCGCCATCAACCAGCGGCCTTGAAGTTGCAGGAGGTGCTTGTAGAAGGCCAACAGCTTCTTACCCCCAGGAGAAGTGACCAAGAAGGACCGAATGGCCGACAGAGCAGGTCGCAGGTTTTCGTACTGGACTTTGGGACCGGGCTCCTTGCTCAAGAGGTATTCGACGAATCTTGGTGTTGCGAGCACGATCTTCCCAGGAAGAGGCGCTTTGTTGTCGAGGAAGTGTTGCAAGCTCCGCTTGTTGTCTTCGTAAAGGAGGGTGAAGTAAGGGTCGAGAGTGACTGACTTGGACGGCGCAGTCCTCAATGGGAGGGTGAGGGTAGAGGCGGTCGAGGCCATGTCGGGGACCTTGGAAGGCGACATGTTCGCCGGCACAGGAGGGTTTGATATTGTACAATTACTCGGTAGATGATCTTGTCGCAACGAAACTGGCTGATGTTGAAGGACGAGGGTAGATGTAGAAGACAGGGAGCTCAGACAGAGATGAAATATTAGTAAACCAAAATTCCCTTGGGACCAGGAGGCTGGGGGACAAAGCATCCATGGGTGCGGCAGAACTCGATCTAAACAAGTGAATGATGTCTGGTCGTCACGTTGATTTGTAGTGTGTGTTCATGTATGTGTTCTTCACCCTTCCCTGCGCTCGCCACACAACAGCTTGGATGTTTGATATCTCTTTCCGTCTTCTTCAAACGTCAGGACTCGAGATATCCCAGACGATCACCTTGAGCTCATGTTTGACAGTCTGGAGGCCAGAGAGTTCCATCATCATATCCCAAAGTTGATTGTTCCAAGATTCTTTCAAAGAATGGACACCCAAGGGAATAGCCGACAAATCTTTCCTTACACCAACCTGGAGTCCTGCACAGGTATATCTTGACATATTCGGCATTGATAATATACAATGCAAGCTGCACAGCATCAACTCGGGCGGTCGTTCTGGAAGAGGCAAACAGAGAACATTGTAGGCTGATTAAGCGGCCTATAGCTGATGCAGGTTAACTGTTGCAGCTTTCGTGGAGCCCACGATGATCATCGGTATACTCGTCTAACAGCACCAAGTCGAGCTCGCGCACTCATCTGTTACAAGACATGCCACAATGGAACAATAGCAAAGAGAAGATGGGGAAGCAAACAACGTGGAGTCGCTGGGGCAGAGGGCGGATGCTTGGTGGAAGATGCTCGAATAGGAAAAGGTGGCACATGATGGTCCGAAAGTCGGTTGATGGTCGAGTGAATTGTGGCTGCAACCATCTCTACCGAGTACTGGGTACATCGTCACCTCATACTCCGTTTCGACAACTAACTTCCTGCTCCTATTCCCCCTGCCACTCTCGTATCGACCACAGAAGAACACATCTCTTGAGTCCCAAGTGACCCTCCTTTCCAAGACCGAGCCGTCTACCTCCCTTCCATATTCGCCTACGACCGGAGACCTGCCGACTACAGCACATCGATAATGTCGCCCTCTATTCGAAAACAATGGCTGCCTTGATGGCACTTTTGTTCTTCATCGATTCCAGGCACTCGGCCCATTGCTCCAACTTGAATGTCTTGTTGACAATGCCTGCGACCTTGACCTTGCCCGAGTCTATTCAACCCATCGTTAGTCGGATGCGCGTGGAAAGAGCAAGGAATTGATTAGACATACCAAGGTAGTCGATGGCAGCAGGGAACTTGTAGGTCTCGCTGAACGACCCAAGGATGGTGATTTCGTCACCGAAGATCTTGGTCGGTGGCCACGACACACGGTCCTTGTTGCCGTAGACGCCATAAACCACAAGCTTGCCGCCTCTTCGGACATAGTTGATCGAATCCTCCAAGATCTTGACACTACCCGTGGCCTCAACCACAACATCAAAGCCATAGGGGTTTTCTCTCTTGATCTTTTCAAACTGCGGGCCGGGGTCCTTGCGAGACAGTTCAACATACTCATCAGCCGCATCCAGGGATTTGGCGAGGTTCATCTTCAGTCCCTCAGGTGCAGCAATGACAACATGGCACCCGCCGTTCTGGCGGAGCATTTGCGTCAAGACGAGACCCGTGGGACCCGCGCCGAACATGAGCACGCTGGAACCCATCTTAGGTGAAATCTTGTCCAGACCGTGGGCGGCACAGGAGGCGGGCTCGAGCAGGGTGGCGTCGACATCGGACAAGTTCTTGATCGGGAACACTCGTTTGGCAGGGTATGCACAGTACTCGGCAAAGCCACCGTCCATGGTCACACCGTGGGCTTGGAAGTCTTCGCAGAGAAGCTCCTCCCCACGACGGCAGTAGAAGCACTCTCCACAGAGTTCCGAGTTGTCTGCAACAACCCGCTGACCGACTTCGAAACCCTTGACCTTGGGTCCGAGGGCTGCAACGACACCGACGGTCTCGTGGCCGGGAATCAAGGGGAACTGCGGTTTCCGTCAGATTTGTTCAGGGCCATCACGTTGAGCTGTTGCTCGTACCTTGGCCAAGAATTCACCCTCGTGAATGTGCAGGTCGGTGCCGCAGACACCGCAAGCCTTGACCTTGATCTATGTCCTGTCCTCAGCATTCTCTTCGTTCAATCTCTGTCGAGCTTACGTACCAGGATATCATTTTCACGAAGCTTAGGGAGGGGGACCTCGACGACGCTGAACTTTTCTGGCTCATCGTACTCTAGATGCACACACGGGATCAGTCGAAGTTTCAGCCAGGGTCTGCCTGCGGACCGGAATCGAGAACCAAACGTGGGGATATTGAGGGAGTCATACTCAACGCCTTCATCTTGGAGGGGAGACTTGTGGAACCCATTTTGATCTATGATCTCTGGTCTATGGAAGATGCAGCAGCACAAACAGGAGGAACGAGTTGCAGAAGATATACAGGACGGGAGAAGAAACAGCAGAAGACGTCTAAAGCGGTCGACCGATCAAAAAAGAAATATGTTGAGGGGGACCTCGCGCCAGCCAAAGCTACCCAGACTCAGCCAGACGTAGCCATGACAGCAACAAAGTGATCTCTTGGGCAGCGCAGCCGAGTGCGGGGCGAGTATCTGCTTGATCGAAACTTTTTCTCGACATTTTCCGATAACCAACCAAATGGCCATGGACGATCTCACACCCCTCCGAGATATCATCGTGCACCCGTGCGTTATCTCATTATTCTCAGAGCCAGATTTCTGAGACCGGAGCCAAAGATCTTGTCTAGCCCAGCTTCCCCGTTTCCGAGCTTGTTCACTAATGACCCTCGTCTGCACTTCGGGCAAATTCCTCCGCAAGATCGGGGAGGTTTTTTCTTTTCTTTCTCGACAAACAGATCCAGTGGTCCTGGGAAAGTCGGTGAGCGCAGCCTTGGGACCTGGAGCGTTCACGATGTTGAGGCAGGACTTATCATTCGCCCTTGGTCCGTTGTGAAGCAGATATGAACCACTGGGAGAGTTCCAGATCCGTCTGGAACCTGTCTCACACGGCTAATCAAAGTTGCACTCTAGCGCCCGAGCTTGAGAGCTGTTGCCCTGAGGTCTTGCTCGGTCCTTTTTGCCTTGATGGATGCGGACGCACCCAGGAACAGCCTTGTTCCCGATTCGACGGGTACATGTCACCACTGCCAACCAAGCCAACAACAGCGCGAAAACACAGGGGGTGACTGGACTCAATTATTTTTTACCTAGAAGTACCTGCGTTCCTGACTCCTTCAGTCAGCACCGAGAAAGTCCCACACGCGTGTGCGCTTGAATCTTTTCCCGCCAACTCTCTGCGAGTTGGTGCGCGCGACTTTGTGCCCTCGTCGCGTGACTCACCGGTTCTGTGGCTTTCAGGGGCAAGAAGCGAAATGTGGGTGAGGGAGAGACACAACACTCACAACAAGATCAACCGGACCGCCATCCGCTCACACCACAAGGACAGGGCCAGGTAGGAGGTCGCTCACTGTGTTCATGGTCTCCATGCCACGATGCCATGATGCCATGATGTGTCCATCTCTTCTTACCTTCAAGTACAAGCACTCGTCTTTCTTGGCTTCTCAACTTTTTCCCCGCGACCCTCCTTCTTCCCCTCCTTGCCTCCTCGTTCCTCGTCGCTAGCATTATTAGTGCGATAGTGCGATAGTGCCATGATCCCATAGTTCTCTTCTCGTATATCACCACGCCCTGTACCTCTACCTTGCTTGCCCTTTTGATTTTCACCACGACCATGTCCTCTACTACTTCTTCGAGATGGCGAGATTGAACACGATTTGGCCATCAGAGCGTCGCTCACTCATCTATCATATAGAGACCAAAGAGAAACAAAAAAACAAGACGGTTGATCGCCCGTGACTTTCCTATACTCATGGCATGCGTTGTCCCAACTTTTGCTTTATATGTTCGAGAGCCCAAACGTAACCTTTCCTTTTGCTCCTCTTTCTTGACCCAATGCAACCAAGGTGCAATGCGACGCAGTGCCATTCAACACTCATGAACCGAGTCCAAACTACTCACTTCAGATTCCCTTGCCATGCTCCCAAGCGGCGCCTCGTTTCCCAATGGTTGCCACGGGGCCGGTAAAATGCTTCGACTCTCAAACTTCCCACACCAGCGCCGACGCTCCCGAAACCAACCCCAGAGAAATGCGTGACACATGATCCAACACAGAGAGCGTCGTGGCTCCTATTTCGTCCTGCGGCATCTGTCTCTGGCCTCATGCCTCTTGCCTCGCCCATATCGTGCACCAGCCCAGCGCATAACCACAAGATCTATTTCAATCCGAATCCCTCGCTCCCCTGCACTGCCATCCAGAGCTTCTCCTCCAACTTCTCCCGCGACGCGTATCGATACAGACTCAGAGTATTGAAACATGTTCTCGCAATAGGGAACCGTTCCACCGGCTTGTTTGTTGGTCTTCCGAATTCATCCATTTCCTCCTTGGCACGGATCAGCTGGATACGGATTACTAGGTTTGTGGCGCCCATGGCTGGGATTCGATCGCTTGCCGTGATGAAACTCAGGATTTTCCGTTGATCTCCGGGTGATACGCGTGCAAAAAAGTCCCAGAACCAGACAACTTGGGGTTGATTTTCGGGCGGTCCTTCCTGCTTAGGCCAGCCTTCGTATGTTGCCACCGCGCGCAAGCTGGCGATGTCCAGTGGCTCATCAGAGCCTCTCACGAGAAGCTCGATCTCTTCGGGTCGGAATAGGGACAGCGCATTGCCGCCACAGACGGTGAAGAAACCACGCTTGAATGGCTCGTATTGCCTCGCCACAGCTGTGTCGAGTAGATAATGGATGTAGAGGTCGACAAATTCTCGTCGATTCGAGTTGTTAACTGCTCGTTTCTCGCCGCCGGGACACAGTGGGATCTGGATAATATCACCGTAACGGTCCATTTCAGCCACGAAGTCGCGACAGAATGTCTCCTCGACATCACCCTCAAATTCAAGCAGTTGTCTGAAACCTCGCGCCAAGGCAGGCCGAAACTCAGCCAAGTCTTCGAGGGTGAAACCGTGGCCGACTTTGGGGATTGACGACAACTTGTCGCCGGTTGCAGGCGCCGAAGCCAACATTTTCTTGAAGACAAACGGCGGAAACGCCACATCCAAAATAGTCGAGTTGTAGATGGCCAGCCCGACCAACACCCCAACCAGGAAGAACTGCTCGGATGACTCAAAGCAAAAGGGATTGAAATAGCAGTATTGAGAATCGTCATCATAAACGAACAGTCCATGGTGAGGATCAAATATCTCTCTTACCAGCAACAGGAACCATTCCTTACGAAGACCGCCTGCATCGACCCCTTCTTCTCCCTGAAAATCAATGCGCAGGCCCTTCTTGATGTCACTACCGCCGGATCCGACAACCTCCGAGACGCTGCGCAGACTGTCCTCGACCAAGCATTCTCGTCGGACTTTGAGAATGAGATACTGACTGACAGCTTTGCGACTGAGGATGCTGTCAAAAAAGGCCTCTCTTGCTTTGATTTCCATCTGTCTTCGCGCATCGTGCTCGAGGATGTGGATTTTGGCATATATGCTCAGAAAGAAGGGATACTGGCAGAAGGTGAACTTTGTCTTGGTCGTCTCCCAAGTTTCGAAGTCGGCCACAAGATCGGCATAGTCCAGCATCGTATTGTAGAAGTTGCTGATGGGTATAATCTGACCATGGGAGTATGCGTGGTACTTGGCATTGAGACCTGGACTATGTAACCTCTGCTCCTGTGCCGCAAACGCATCTCTCTTCCGCGCAGTATGGCCAACATTGGCGTGGAACAGCAGAGCCATGACCCTTGCGGCCACGCGGATTTGCCAGTCTTCGCCGTACGAAGAGAGCTTCGGCTTTCCGTCAGACTTGTCCGCTGAAGTGGAAGTAGGTCGACCCCCTAGTGCGGCGTGAACTTGAGAGGCATGGTGCATCCCAGAGTCAGAGAAGCTAGGGACGAGGCCCTCTGTGGGGTTGATGAGTTCGTGGGCTGGGGTTTTCTGTTGTCGGGATAGTCTGTAACTCACGAAACTGCCAACCATTTCCACCGTCCTTTGGAAGTGGCCGTCAGAGTATCTGGAAAACCATGAAACCAGATACTGGTGATTTTCATGAGAGAGATTGGCCATCAGGCCGAGAATCCGCTTGATGATGCCAGAGTGATGGCCGAGACTTCCTGGTCGTCTACCGCCGCTTGGAACACGTTTCGATGGTGAGTCACGGGCTCTATCATCAACCTGTTTTCCTGCCGGTACCGGAGGGTGAGGTATTGTAACCCCAAACATCTTGCCTGTCTCAAGTCTCGAGGGTGTCAATAACGGGTTAGCTAGAAGGATCAGTAAGAATCGACAATCCTCAGGACGCTTCAACGGTTGCCTTGGCCGTTTCAAGAGATTTTCCGTGATCTTCAACAGGCTCCGCTGTAAGTGTATTCGGGATTCCATGATGTCTCGCTGGATACTCTCTAAAGGGGTCGACTGCCAACATTGCTGTGCCTTTGGATCCGTCAACTTTGGCCTCAATTCGTGCCAACGTTGTTCCCAGTGATCGCCCGCATATATCAATGAGCGATACCACTCGGCAAGTTCGAGCCAATTGATTCTTGGATGTCTCCCACTTGCAGAGCTGCGACTCTTCTCTGGGGACCTATCTCGCTGATGATGAGATTCTCTGACCGACATAGCCGCACGCCCATTCGGGGCGCCTAACCACCAGGATCCGTTCTCCGCAACATCGCCAAGCAGAAGGGTTTTCGCGTCAAGCTCGGATAGGAAGACATCAGGCTCTAGTACAGGAGCCGAAGCAGGTTCGGACAATTGCCGCCTCTGGTGTGTCCCTGAACCAGACCTGGGTTTAGGTTCCTGAGGTGGACGAGGGGTGAGGAAAGACTGGTTTAACGTGTTACAGCCTACAAAGCAACCAGCAATGTAGTTTTCGACCAGACGGAAGACGTCGGATCTTGGGCCGGACGTCGTGATTGAGTGTACAGGCTCTAATGGTTGTCGTCCTCTAGAGCTCTGCGGCCTGTTGTGGACCGAGGGTAATGAATTGAAGGGGTCAGCTGGGTGGCCTTGAACAAAGGATGGCCCGGGATTTCGGTTTGCGTAACGAGGAGATAGGTTGGCTTCCTCATAGCTGGGTGGTTTCATTCCAGGATGTGGCGACGGTGGTGGTGAGTCCTGTTCATCTGTGGGCTGTCCCTCCAGCACACCTTCTGGTAGGGTTCCATCCAACAGGAACGAATCCTCGGCTGGTGAGTGATTGTCGATTAGTATTGGGTGAGTATGTGAAGAAATCCCGTCGTGCTCAATGCGAGATTCGAGATAGTGTCTCAGACAGCGATCAAGTAGTGATCTCGTTCTCTCAAGGGACACGCATACGAATTTGCGCTGGGATGAGGATCCAGCTGCCGATGCCTGGGCATCATCTTTGGCGTCCGAGCTGTACTCGAGATCATTGATGGTCAGGCAGGTCGTACATCGGAACACCTTGAGTCCCTGGGGCCATCGGACGGTAGAGTCACAGGTCATACACTTCCCAGTTACTGGCTGGCGGTCACCCCGTGGCACGGAAGCTTCAGCAGCTTGCTGCCTCATATTTCCCTCTTCGTGCCGAGTATCGCGCGTTCCATCAAAATCAATGCCATGCTTGCTCTTTTTCTCCGACTTTTTGGAACCAAAGATGGAGGGAAAGGGATGACTGAAGGACCGACTGTGGTTGAGCTTTGCGGAGCTAGAATCTGGTGATTCGGGGAGGGGTTTTCGACGTAGGGTAGGAATCTCGAATGTCTCGGCCGCAGCACTGACTGGGGGCGGCGGTAGGGGTCGATTGAGGTCGGTGCCCTTGGGCTGATCATGGCTTGTACTCCGAGTTAGCTGGACATTGCGAGGTCGAGGCCGGCTGGGATGGTGGTCGTGGGACGCAGATGATGGCAGCGACGCCATTGTCGTCATGTAGAATTGCGACAGAGCCTCAGATCCTGGTGATGGGGCGAGGCGAGCGAGGTATTCATAAAGAGTGGGCCAGTGAAGCCAGTCCACCAACGCCGCTTCGATGTCTCAGAAAGTGCAAGGGCTTAGGCGGCAGCGCAAGTGGTGTTTGCGTAGTGTATGGTGTATAGGTATAGTCTGGTGCCTTGGTCACGATGTTCATTCGCTTAGAAAGCAAGTCCCAAGGCGGACACGCCAGAGTAATCCAACAATCAGTCTCCTGGGAGGGTGTCGCAGCACGGATAGTCGAAGTGAAGGAGAAGGAGCTCCAGCATATTGTCCCGTCACAGACGCCAACAATAATGCTGGGGGCGCAGGGCAGGCACGATCGGCGTCGTTCACGAGGGGGTGCTTTTGGCGGAGGGAGACGAGACGAGAGTAGTAGACCTCATCGCCATCCGACTGCTTCTAGAGGGAAAAAAGTGGTTCTGGTGGTGGTGGTGGCATTGATCGAGGACTGTTTTGCGAGGGGAATTTGCCAAGGCCACTGAGAAACAAGATGCAGGGCGTCAGAGGGAGTCAACAGGCAGAATTAGGGAAGCCTCAGGACTTGACAGGGCACCAGGGGGAAGCCTCGGGTCATCGGCGCGCGAGAGTCAGGGGCTAAATTGCTTGATTGGGGGCGCACCTATAGGCTCTACCCACTGAGAGAACAGACTAAGAGCCCCAGCGGGGGACGTTGACATCACACCCTCAGCACCGATATATTTGTTATACTTGGGGGGAGTGCCCGTGGCACTTACTCGGTACTCACAGGGGGGAATTACGGAGCCTTACAAGCGAACCCTTCCAAACTAAGCACTCAAAACTTACTAGGCCATGGGGGATAATCTCCTACTCCGTACTCGGTACAAGTACGAGCATTCTATTTTCGGCACCGTATGTACTGGTAGGTACTTCCGTACAAAGTACCGAATACCTCTTGAACTCTCGCCACTAGGTGTTTTCCCAAGTTGTTGTTGCTCTCATATCATGTTACCGCTCTCATATCATGTTACTCGGTAGACACGGGAAGTACGGGTGCATAAACAAGTACCTGGCTGATACTGTAGTTTGTTTGGGCTGTGCCAGATCATACGAGTACGGGTCTCTGTCTCAAAATCGAGAAGGAAAAAAAAGACTACCATTACCTAGTCACCGAATTGCCGCTCGCTAACATCTTTCAAAGCAACATGGAGACCCCATCAGCCGTGTTGACGCTTGGGCCGATTACCCATCAAGTCCATATTCTTCAACCAGCTTGTCCGCTGCTGTCAGCCCCACAAGATACGCCGTTGATTGAGTGTGGTTGCTGTAGAGCCTTGTTAGCCTAAATGTCTCAGATATGTCGACCTTCAGTCGCATGACTTACTTGGAAACAATGGGGATGACACTCATATCAGCCACTCTGAGATTCTCCACCCCAAAAACCTTGAAGTGGTTGTCCACAACGGCCTTCTCTTCATCCTTGCCCATCCGAGCAGTCCCCATCATGTGCCATGTTGAGCCGCTGCCCGCACGCCAGAAGGCCAGGATATCATCCTCAGACTCACTCTTGGGGCCGTCGATAGCCAGGGTGTCTTTTTGGAACTCGGGGCTCTTCAGGACCCTCAGAACATCTCGTGTAGCCTCCACGGCCACCCGTCTGTCAAATGGGTGGGAGAAGAAGTTGGGATCGAAGATAAGTGGTTTCGTGGGATCGGACGACTGGAGTCTGACGGCGCCTGTCGACATCTGATTGAGGACGAACACGAACACGGTTGTTCCGGCCTGTGCGTTTTCTGGGTCGATGAAATTGGGAAGCCATGCACCATTGAGGATGAACTCGTAGTGAGGAACTGTCGGCTTCCGCAGTTTTTCTTGATCTTCCTTTGGTAGAGCTTGGAACTCGGCGCTGTCGTACAATTTATCCAGCTTCAGGTATGCAATACCCAGAGCGCAGCCGTATTCCGCCAAGGGCCCAGTACCGTCTTTCTCCCACGCGGCTCGGGCAGCAGCCTGAAGTTCCTTGTTTTTATAAAAGCGGGTCCTCTCACTCGTGTGGTCTGCTCGGAGAGATGGGATCATGATGTGGTGATGATCCTTGAGGTGCCTCCCAACGTTATCATTGGCTTTCAAAATGGGGATGTTGAAGCTGCTGAGCTCGTCCACGGGGCCAATGCCGGAATGCATCAGAATTCTTGGTGTATCGAGGGCGCCACACGACAAAATGACTTCTTTGTCGGCTTGGAAAACCTTCCCTCCAGTCGTCTTAATCCCGGTCGCCTTTGTGCCATCGAAAGTCACTTGAGCCACCTCAGCGTCAACCAAGACGTGTAGGTTGCTGGGTGCCCCCACCAACGCGTCTGCGGATGTCGATCTAATCCCTTGGTATGCAGTTGAAACGCAGGCGGCAAGACCGATTGGGTCTCCGGAATTATGGTCGGGGTTGGGCTTTGTACCGTTGGCATACCAGATGTCCATCAGTGCCGTGCACGAAGGCTCCCAGACCTGTGGAAAGCCGACCTTGATAGGCCCGTCGTGCCCATGGTCTTTTGGGTCAGGGTTAAGATACCGCTTGGCATCACCTGGTACATTCGGAGCCGTCGCGTGAAAAGATTCGAGCCGTTTGTATCTCTTCTGAGCATTGTTCCAGCTCCATTCGTCGTCGCCCACGAGATTTGCGATCTGATCATAGTCATCCTTTGGACCGACGGTCCAGACGGAGAAATTGATGGCAGTGCTTCCCCCAAGCCCTTTGCCACGATCGTAGTCAATGATGTTCCCATCGAAGCCTTTGATGGGTGCAGTCTTGTAACCCCAATTCTGCGAAGGAATCATTCGATGAAGCCACCTTTCTGCGTCCGCTCGAACATCCTTGGAGTCGTTTTTCCCGCCGGCCTCGACGAGAAGGACCGAAGGACGATGCTTGCTGTTTGCCAGACGAGCTGCGAGGATCGCCCCTGCTGCACCGGCGCCGACGACGATGAAGTCAAACCTGTCTGGCATTGAGGGGCTCATTGTGACAGAAGAGACGTATGCGATTGTCTTGGGAAGTGTGATAGTTGTGATAGTCAGTATCCAAGGGACAGATTTTTGCTCTCTCACGAGATTCCTTGTGCAAGATGAGTCCCGAACGACGTTATATAGGCAGACCTGGCAAGTCGTGTCGCCCGTAAGAGACGGGCTTTTTAGGAGCTGACTGTAGTATTTCTTGGGCAAAGGGATGCCCTACAACCCTTTCAGAGCAAGGCTTGTCAAAAGTACTCACCTTTTGCCATACCTGGCACACTGGACAGGGGCGACAGTCGCTCAGTATGACAGATGACTGATCCGTGAAGCCAATAGCCTGGTCATGTCGGAATGATCCGTCAACCCTCTGGCAAGGACTTGGCCATGTCCCATCGTGACCATCGTCCTCAGCCTTCTCGGGAAGGAAAATGGTAGACCAGGGACAGATAGGCAAGTCCAAGGAGGGCCTCGAGAGGTTGGTGATCGACATAGTCCTCGTCTTTGAAGTGATATGATAGGCCGGCATGCCATGTGGGCTGAGTCATGTTGAAGCAGCCAGGCCACCACATCCACAAGAGGTTGTTGGTAACTGCTCCTTTGGAAGCTGAGCAGGCATAAGATGCAACTCAAGAAAAAGTCGGTCCAAGATGAACCAAGAGGTATAAGCCCCGAAAGTGTGAAAGGTTTAGAAGGCAATGAGGCAAAAGTGGGAAAAGTGGAGGATAAAGTTGCCGTATCGATGAGATAATTCCTCCATGCAGTAATAAATTTACAGAGCCACAACCCTGACAATTCTTTGCTCGTCAACCCCCTGGCGCATATTCTCACACGAAACACACACACCCTATACCGAGTACACACGATAGCTTCGATATTTGTCACATCGACTCTCAGCATGCAGCACGCCTAGCTACAACGCTTTCAACGGGTATGAGCTGACTCTCTCAAATGGAATTGGTCCCTCGGTGTTGGCGTGCATCATGTTCACCAGCCGTGAGATCGCGCACCCACCAACTCCGCGGCCGTTACTTTTCCTCCAGCCGTCGTCCTCTCTCCTTTGCCACTGCTGAGCTCGAGCGACTTCGTCCAGTGCCCCTTTCTCGTCCTGTGCTGTCGACAAATGTTTCTCTACCGCCTCCGAAGCAATCGTCCATATCACGGGGCCCGCGGGTTGAACAAGAGAATTTGAGTCCCGCACGCCTTCCAGTGTCCTGTCCTGGTTGCGGCGCGCTCACGCAAGATGTCGACTCTGGACAAGCGGGTTTCTATACATTGTCAAGAAAAGCGGTGGTGAAATATCTCAAGAACCTCGAGAGCTCGAGTCGGGTGCAGAATGAAGGAGACGTAGGCACAGATGTGGCACATGTCCAAACCTCCCAAGATGATGAAAATCTACGAGACGAGCACGGCATAGTCCAGCCTCAGCCCCAGATAACACCTCCCATCTGCGATAGATGTCATTATTTGATCCATGACTCCCGCGGTGTGCCTATTGCGCATCCTTCGGTTGAAGCCATCGCGGACTCGATCGCTGAGTCTCCTTTCTCCAGGAATCATGTCTACCACGTCCTTGATGCAGCAGATTTCCCCATGTCTGTCATCCCTTCAGTCTACAAGAGCCTCTCCTTGGCAAAGCCTCGAACGCAGAATCGTAGGTCTCAGCATTCGTTTTCAACCCGACCCTCTGTCTCCTTCATCATCACCAGATCCGATCTCCTAGCTCCAACCAAAGAGATGGTAGATGGCATGATGCCCAAATTCATCGCTATTCTCAGGACTGCCTTGGGTCGCATGGGACAAAAGCTCCGGCTAGGCAACGTGCATCTGGTCTCGTCGAAGCGAGGATGGTGGACCAAGGATATCAAAGAAAGCATTTGGCGCAGGGGAGGCGGCAACTGGCTTGTTGGAAAGTTCAATGTGGGAAAGTCGAATCTGTTTGAGGTCCTTTTCCCCAAGGCATCCGCCGGCAGAGCGCCTGTATATGCAGAGTTTCAGCGACAGCAGGAGGTTGACGCAACGCATAAATCTACCGATATCACCTTTTTCTCCGAGAAAAACTTACTACCTCCCCCTCAGCCTGAAGTTCCTTTTCCATCCATGCCTTTGGTGTCCAGTCTGCCGGGGACGACAGCATCTCCGATTCGACTTCCCTTCGGCAACCACAAGGGAGAGCTGATTGATATGCCGGGCCTAGAACGTGGAGGCCTCGACCAGTATGTCAAACCCGAAGATCGGACCGACCTGGTCATGGTACATCGGCCGACGGTCGCCCAACACATTATCAAGCCCGGTCAATCTCTGCTCCTAGGAGGGGGACTGGTCCGGATCACACCGCTCCTCGACGAAGCTGACCCGAGTACCACCATGCTGGCGTACCCCTTTGTTCCGCTCAAAAGTCATGTCACATCCACGGAGAAGGCACGTAGCACGCAAATGCAAGAACGTGAAAGCGGTGTGGAGTCAATCCTAGCCGAAGGCGCAGGGAACTGCATGGCTTCTGCGGGTCAATTCAAATTGCAAACCGATGTCACAAAATCCAGAGCAGGCTCCATGATCAGAGCTGGAGTCAACATCGAGAAGTTGCCATTTCGTGTCTACGCAACAGACATACTCATCGAAGGGGTCGGATGGGTGGAGCTGGTCTGTCAGGTCAGAAAAAGCACACGCTTACATCAGCCTGGGCCACTTGCTGAAGATTCTACGGGACCAGATTCCACCGGATCGGATGTCCCTAGCGCGGAAGGCCTGTCGATTGATACGAGCACGTTTACTCCATTCTCCTCCATTCAGGCTGGTGAAGACTCGGGGCTCTCTCCAAGGTTTCCTGAAGTCGAGGTCTTTACTCCCAATGGCAAGTTCGTCGGACAACGAACCTGTCTCGATGTATGGCAAATGTGGAATATGGGAAAGCCTCAGCCGAAGAGGGCTGCGCGTCCTCGTAGGCCGATGAGCGGCGCAAAGAAGCGCGAGAAGCTACGCCGCAGGGCAGTCCTGGCCACAAATCAAAGCAGCTGATCTATACAACAAAAAGCTTACAATGGTGATTCTGACCGATGGTGGCAAATGTTGGTATTTGCTTACTCGGACATTTGAGGGAGGAATGCAAAGGAGCAGTTCATCATTCACGTCATTTCGCGCTCCCTAGCATCGTTGCTCGATGCACTTGGATTAACGGATCACAAGGCAGTCTCGTTCTCTACACTTTCTTGTGGGTCTTCATTCTGTCAAGACCACAATCTTGCCACGCGCGAGGTTCTTCTCCATGGTATCGTGCGCCTCGACAATCTGGTCCAACTTGAACACCCTTCCAATCTGGACAGGCAAGGTGCCCGCCTCGATCTGCTTGAGCAAGTCGTTCAGGGGGGTTTCTTTGAATTCATCTGGGCCCCCGGAATAAACAGTCAAGCAGACAGTATGAGGGATGAGCTCCATTGGGGAGACGTTTTCCATGGTCCAACTGTTTCCTACAAGATGCTTGTCAGGCCAATCCGAACGAGATAGCAAACACTCTTGACTTACCAACGATGCCAGCCATACATACGATTCCTCCCTTGACAGCACACCGCAAGGAATCTTTCAGAGTCGTGGTCCCCACCAACTCCAGGACTTTGTCGAATTTGTTGTCCTGAACCTGCTGAGTAACGTGTCCATCGTCGATAATGATGTGATCAATTCCACTCTTTTGCATCAACTCGGCAGTCGCTTTACCGGCATGTCTTGTTGTTCCGGCAACAAAGCAACCATGGTTCTTCGCAATGGCCGCAGCCGCCAACCCGACAGAAGTCGTGCCCCCTCGAATGAGCAGACGGTCCTCGCTCCTCAATTTGAGTGCTTTGAATAGGCACCCGTAACTCGTCTGCAACATCTCTGGGACAGCACCGACGATGGTCCAGTCCAAGTCGGTGTCCAAGGCCTGCGTGTTGTCCACCTTGACGCTGGTATACTGGGCATAGCCGCCGTCGAAGTCTCTACCCATACCTCCCATGGCTGTGGCAACCTTTTGGCCGGTCTTAAAGGTGCCGCTGGGACACTTTTCCACGATGCCAGCGGCCTCTATGCCCAACACGCGGGGGAATTTGACGCCGGGACTGTGACCCTGGCGAGTGAAGAGCTCGGAGCGATTGAGGCCAAAGGCTTTGATGTGGATGAGAACCTCGTCCTCCTTGGGCGTCGGGATGGGAAGCTGTTCGACCTTGAGGGCTTCGGGTCCACCGGCCTCGTGAATCACGACGGCCTTCATTGTCGTCGTCGCCATTTGTGTTTGTTGTTCTTCTCGTCGAGGCCTAGGATGGAGATCTTGAGTCAACTTTGGCCGGAGACCACTCCCGTGTCGAAAAGCAGTACAGGCAGAGGATAATCCGGAGGGCCGGACTGTGTGGTATATATACCACACAACACTCTCCCCCTCTCTCTGGAAACAAATGCCTTTCCCCTTTCTGTCCAACTTCTCACAAGAGAGTCTATCTCGCAGCTCTCAGGCCCCTCGCCGTCTCGATTACGAGTAGGAAACAGGCCGAACAGCGAAGTTTCTGGACGAATAAACTCTGAGGACGCACCTCCCCTCTGATCGACCAGGGTTATATCTGGTTGACGCGTATAACACGTGTATACTTAATAAATATGACCTGATTTGGTCTGATTTGATCTGATTCAGCCAACTGTCCGAGGACCCAAGTGGGGGGCCTGTTGATGCCAGGTTGCAGTTCCGTCATAGACCTACTGACGTGCCAATAAGGATGTAAGAATGTAGTCGTCACGCATGCTACCAGTACGGCGCATCTATGTATGTACCCAGGTACCAGGGAGGTAGGGACATATCTAACCGTAGCTTGTGTCTTTATCTGAGAAATGAATGAATGAATTGTCGTCTATCGCTGTGGGGGAGGAGGGGGCCTTGCATATTGCATGCAGGCAGGCTCGTACCTCAGGGCACGTAGCCCACGTAACATCTGATTCTGACGGTTGATAGTGATACTGATAGTGATACACGCTCGGGTTCTGGTTCGGGTTCGCTTTATGTCGGCGAATCAGCTTCTATCATCATTATTATTAATACTCACTCATATGAATTCTTCTCCATATTTTCCTCCTTCTGTCTTTCGTCTCACGCTCTACAAACTGTGATTCGAGTGGGCCTGAGATGCTCCTCAGCTTTGAGGGAAGTTTGAACGCAAAACCTGCAGCTACATTGAGCCAATCTCAAAACAGCTCTGTAGTGCTGCTTGGTGGCGGTCAAGGCGGAGTGAGTGAGTGAATTGAGCATCATCCAAGCATCCAAAGAAACAAGGCCGACCACATCGTGCGAAACATCAGAGACAGCTACACATTTCACGCATCACGAAGACCATATTGCCAAAGAGCAGAGCGCGACAAGCAAAGCTCGACGCTGTGTCATTAGGATTAGAGCAATCAAGTACTCTCTAAAGATGTCCCGAACGAGTGTAGGCTCTTCGATTTCTCCAGATCGAGAGAAGCCGGGTATCCCAAACGCCAAAACAACCTGATTTCTACCCAATGCATCATAACACCAAAGGGGTATGTGTGTCATCCCACAGCCAGACAAGGTACGATCCCATCCATCATCCATGTTGCAAATTGGGGATTGGCATGAGTCAGCAAGCAGGAACCGGCATTCATGTTCGCGAGTTGTTGTATCCGGGGCCATCTGCCCTCGCCGACGAAGGAGATCGGCCTTGTTGGCCGTCACTGTCGCCGGAGCTGTCTTCCTCCGTTTCATTATCCGCGAGGCCGAAAGCATTGGCAGACACGGGTTTCCGTTTGGTGATGACTGTACTCTGCTGTCGTCTGTGCTTTGCTTCAAGTCGTTTCAGCTTTTCATCTGCTTCACGCAGTTTGGTTTCTAGCGTCTCGAGTTCGTATCTCTGAGAAAGGACAGTGTCTTGTCTGTAATCCGAGGTATTGCGGTTAGCCTTGTTCGACTGGCATAGGGGGCAGGGGTGGATCGCGATGCGGCGTACTTCTGAACCACAGCTTCCTCCAGTGCGCCAATACCGTTGAGCTTGAAAAGGTCGTCCAGTGTAGCAGAGAAGTCAAGGGCAATTGTTCTGGATAGGAGAGAAGTCGAGTTAGCTGGGAAACCATTTGGAGGGACTGTTTGCCTGGGCGGCTTCTTGCAGGTGGATGCTTACGACTGGGGGCGCCCATTTGGTTGCCAGCCCGCATCGGGATTCACTTCGTTCGATGCGTCCATTGTATAGGTGTGTCTGTGTGCTATCGTGTGAAGAGGCTGGGAGGAGGACAATGAAGGATCAAGCAGCGAAACCAAATTGTCGAGATATCGATATATTTGTAGTTGAGTATAAGTCGTGCAGGCAGCAGATCTAATCAACGAATTGAGTCACTTGATTGAAGTCAAGTGGACGAAACCTTGGAGGACAGCGATGAGCCTTAGGCAGACTGGTTCATGCCGTCTGCCCAGTGCGAGGGAGGAATAATAGATAGAGATAGAGGTCGTAATTGCCTGGGTGCTGGTCTGCCATCTGAGGCAGACCGCATCCTTGACGAGATTGTCGCGCCCAGCATCCTAGCAAAAAGGGGTTCACCGGTCAAGGCGGTCCCTGAGGAGCAGGCACAGCAGGCCACCCCCGGGAGAGTTTAGGTCGCAGGGACTAGAAGTGTTAGGCGTCTCCAAGATGATTGGGGTATGCCGATCCCCGGCCCTCAGCCCTAGTAATTTGGCCGCCTACGCCTTGAAACCACTGGTATTCGTTGGGACTCTGGGAGCGACTGGCCTCTGCTGGCGCAGCTGGGCACTGAGAAGACCAAGCACGTTCGGTTAGGCTCGCACCAGTTGGATGACCTGCTTCCCGCTCCCTTACGTCTTGCACCTTTTCCCGCACCAAACAGTGTGTAGCGTGTTGTCGCATCAAACAATTTTGCAAATTTCACCGTTAAAGCACTGAGCAGTTTCATTTCGTGTCACCGCATTTCTTTTTATTCCATCTCCACCATCACGCCCCTTGTGCCTCTCACTTCCAAGGTCGCCCCTTGACGCGTTCCTGGGCCTTTGCGCCCCCCATAGGGCTCGTGGTTTTGACTTTCCCAAAGAGGCACGCTTGGTCGCATCTCTAGGTAGAGCGACTTGTTCCTTCAACCACCGCGACGATGGGATGCCTTCACTAAAAGCCTATACACCTTACGAGACCCTCGCCTTCTGCCAATCTGTCGTCCATCATGGCTCCGATACCGCTGCCTTTGAGGGTATCGCGACCGCCTTGAATGCCAATCAGCTCATTCGCGAGAGTGAGTCGTACGATCAGACTCGTTTGACTGCCGCGGCACTGCAAGGATTATACCATGAGCTCCTGGTCGAAGAGAGAAAAACACAGACTCCTCCTATGGTGAATGGCGACAATGCGAAATATGGTACGAACCCGCGAAAGCGGAAGTTGTCGACCTCGCCCACTCCACCCCCAGCTGCGGCTGGAAGTGACGGAGATGAACAGAGAATATTGCAAGCCCTGGTAGACAAACTCTATGCTCGCTTCAGGGAACAAGCCATAAAAGAAATACGACAGGAAGAGGACGACTATCTCAGACTGCAAGCTGAAATCTCGGAACTCGAAAAGGCTGAAGAGGAGAACGAGAGGCAGCAAGCTGATACTGAACGAGTGAAAACGCCGCAAGTTGAACAGCCTCAGACAATCACAGAGGCAGCCTCGAAGCCTCCAGCAGTCGAGACCAGCACTGATACCACAAATGCACCGCTGCCTGCTGGCATAGAGGTAAATCGAAAAGAGCAGATCACTCCACCTGTGGGCGCAACTCCAGCAGCAGCAGCAGCAGCAGATGCAGAGGTGTCGCCAGCATCCGTCCGCAGCAGTCTGCACCAACCTCTCGCACCGTCACACTCTCCTGCTCCCACTACTCCCACCCTTGTTCCAAAAGGATCAGCAGAAGCTACTCCGATAAGACCATCACAACAAGCACCAGCACATCCTCCGCATCAGTCGCCGGGAGCGTTTCACCGTACTCTTCCAGTCCCTTCTCCCCAGCGACCAAACTATGGCGCTATCAATCCCCAGCATTTTCAGCCAGGCCCTCACGGTCAACCTGTACCAGTATTACCACAATATGTCGGATCGCCTCACATGCCTCCGCCCGCAGAGTTTCCCCCTCAAAAGCGCGGAAATTCAGCATCTGGCCAGGGACGAGGCTCGCCTATCCCAATGCAGCCTCAGCAGCCATATCCAGGATATGCTGGATATCCACAGCAGCCTCCTTGGCCTCACCATATGCCTCCTCAGTACCCTCAACCTCCACCGTATCCTAATTCGCCATATTATATGCAATCTCCTGCTGGGCGACCTACTATATCATATCAAACTCCACATCATCCGACATACGTGGCGTACCCTCAAAGCGCCCCTGTTCACTATCAGGGACAGCCTTCACATCCACAAATATGGCCATCACCACAGCCTGGCCAGCCATATTATGGATATCCTGGTTCCGCAAATGTGACACCGGTACCTAGAAGCGACTCGCGTCAAGCATTACACCGAGGAAGATCGTCAACGCCATGGAAGAAGCGATCTCAAGCTCCCATGAGTGTCCGACCATCAAGTCCGACTCGACCTGAGCGGGAGGTCAGCCCTCTCACGGATACGGAATCGCCGACTCGAGCAGGAAAGGTGACAAAATCTCCCGGCAAGATGGACCAAAAGGTCGAAGAAAGCACCTTATCCGTGCCAGAAGTTGCACCACCGACTAGAGGCCGACAGGCAACAAGTGCCACACCCAGTGCATTTGCTGCGTCACGATCGCATTCACTTGCTTCGTTCACGTCAGACACTCCGACAGACAAGCGCAAGAAGGGTGGCCAGGCTCAAAAGATCAAGGCTGAGCCTCCCAGTACTCCTGTACCGATACAGTCCGATACAGAACAGCCGACGCAAAGAACCAGCAATCGGCGCGGAAGACCTCGAACCACTGCAGCCCCCCCTAAGACTGACCTGATTCAGCCAGCTGCCAATACCAATAAACGCAAGCGTTCACTAGTTCGCGATTCTGCCACCCCTCCCCCTTCACTCCCAACACAGTTACCGTCCCCAACGACTGCGACAGTCACACATTTGCAGCCTCAACCCTCTATGCGCCAACAATCCTCGGTTTCATCATCACATGATCTCTCATATGTTTGTGTATCCAAGAGCTTTGCCAAAACGGCTCAGCTCTTGCTCAATGATCTCGTCTCCCACAAACTTGCGAGCATCTTTGCCAAGCCGCTCTCCGAGCGTGATGCGCCAGGATACAAGGACCTGGTCTCGAAACCCCAGGATCTAAAGAGCATCAAGGTGGCGATCACGAAAGGAGGGAAAGCGGCCCTGGCAGCGATTGAGGCGTTTGAAGAGAGAGCCGATAACCAAAATGCTGGAGATGTGGACGTTAGCCAGCAGCTTTCCGCCAATAAAGCCACTGCGCCCACGACTGGATTGGTTGGAGGCTCATCTGGGGCGGAAAGGGCATTGGGAAATGGAGTCTACCTTGTGAAAGCGACAGAAGACCTCGTGCCTCCTAAAGGAATCGTGAACTCGGCGCAGCTTGAGCTGGAGCTTGTCCGCATGTTCGCAAACGCAGTCATGTTCAACCCTTTGCCAAGCTCAGAACGAGGCTTTGGCCGCTCTCTCCGCCTAAGGAAACGAGGGGTGGACCTGGCTCCCCAGTTCAAAGAGGTGGATGGAGATCATGACAGCGGAGCAAACGAGAGTGAGGAGTCGGACGAAGGCAGTCCTGGGGAGGAGGGCGGTATTATCTCGGACACGCGAGAGATGTTCGAGGATATCATGGCCAAGGTGAAGAAGTGGAAAGAGCTTGAGCTCGAGAGACTGGGAAACGTCGACACTGGCATGACCATGGAGGCTGAGCACACGGCTGCTACCCCGACACCGGGCACCTTGAAGCCGGCCCTCCAGGGCCCGACACTGGGAAGTACCGGTGGTAATGGAAGTACGAGTGCCAGCCTCCGACACTCGGAGAGTGTTGAAAAAGAAGACGAAGGAGCCGCAGCACCAAGCACGCCAGTGGCGTCAGGAACGGGAACCGCGAGGAAAAGGAGGCGCATTGCGGACGGCTAGTGGACCAAGGTGATGCACCACTGAATGCCATGATGATGTCGTTGTGATGGTGGCAGAAGTTTCCAGTCCTGCATACTCCTCTTGAGTGTCCAACCCAGGACTGAGTGATCAAACACCTGTTTTTAAAAGGGATAACGAAGTACTCGCTTATGGGATCCGAACCGGTTCATATCTGGCCACCCCCAGAGCGTTTTTTGTGTAGGAACCATGGAATGGACAATGAGGTGTTTTTTATTTTCAAACTAAACGCGCATCATGCGCATGCATCCATGTATGACCAGACCAACAAGAACCATAACCGCGTGCTGTTTTTCCTCACCCGGTTTCTCTATAGATGAATAGATGGTAACGAAAGGGAGTGAGTACGTGAGTGGACGTAGTAATTCAATAGACAGGAAGCCATGAATTGAATTGACTCGAATCGAATTCATAGTGTGTGTGTGTGTGTGTGTGTGTGTGTGTGTGTGTGTGTGTGTGTGTGTGT